AATTTCGCCTTGTTCCAATATCGAATGGCTCCAGTCGACTTCACAGATATTTCATTATCGTGGGAAAGAAATTCTTTTGTGGCCGTTATCAAGTAATTTACCGAAATCGGTTAATGTTTCAAATATGTATGCAAAAAATAAGAAATCACGCTTTTTCGAGGTAATTGAAATATCATCAGCACGCTGACTCGTAGCGGAGGCCATTTATAGCTCGGGAATCAATCCATTTTTCATCTTTATACCTGTCTCGTTTATTCATCGGACGATGAATAGACCTTTCTTCCCAATGTTTTTAATTTTGAAACAAGTCGGGTTTCATTAACCACGCTTTTAAATCTATTAAATACAACTAAAATATTAATGGCGGTTCCGGTTAGTTGATTCCTTTGCAAACATGGCAATCGAAAATAAAGGTTCGTTTTTGACTGACGCGATAATAATCTACAATTCTCCTTTCATATTAATTTCATATTCGGGACATATGATTTTAGGGAAAAAAAGTCATTTCCTATCTGGGCGGTTTCATATTGATTCCAAACCGTAATCGCGAAAGGTTTAACCACGAAAAACGTCTGATATGAGGTGAGATATGGTGCGGATGTGTATGATGCATTTAATTGCATTAATCCATACAGTTTTTCCCGTCGGAGAATAATTGTCGCCAGTGGATAATCCCTGTTGGATCTGACTTTTAATGCTAAAAATTTATTTCCTTTCGGATTACTGCGCGTGGTAACTACGTCATTGAAAACTGGGATTAACCCCAGAAAGGAAAAAACTTCAAAGTTCAAGTCTCAGCTTAACTATTCCGATGAAAGATTATAATCAGTTTAAATTTTTAAAACAGGACATCTTGCACTAGGTAAATAAGTGTCATGACAACAACAGTTCGAAGGACTAGAAGAAAATCTCTGTGTAAAGTATTCATTTGACAACATAAATGGCCCAGGGGCAATTACAGGCACATGCACACAAAGCAGGGCTTGAGTCTATTCCTTTTTTAACAGGAGCCTCTGGCAGCGCGTTTTTTGGCACTGGGCCAGCTACCTTTCCCGCCCTGCCCTTACGCCTCGCTGCGTCAGGTGTTACTAACTCATATTTAGATTTAGCATATGGCGCACGCGCATTTGCACCTTGGCCCGTATATGTAATCAAGTCCGTCCCGGTGTCTGCCAAGTGTCCACAAAGGTTTGTTAAGTGTTCCTGAAATAGGTGTTTTCGCGCGATCCGGGATTTGCCTTAACGAGCTAAATACCAAAAATAACGGGAAAAATGGTTTTGATGGCATGAGAATCATTTTATCGGTACTTTTTTCCAACGCGAACATGGTCAAATTGCCACAGAATGTGCGTTAAGCCGGTTCTTACTTAAATATGCATATGACGTCACATGGTTGACACATCGATCGTGAGGCAATATTTCTGTCCATACAAATGACTGTAATGGCGAAGCACGGGGGAAAGACTTGTGCGGTAGGTAGCACAAAGGTCAGAAGGCCGGTATTCGGCAAGAGTTAAGATTACCGGGTTGAGCAAAAATTTGTGTCGAAGTGAGCGGATTGAAAAAGCCCATGCCGGCCGGATTGGGAACCCTCTTTGGTGTTCTTTTACTTCTAATGATTTTTTTCCGGCTACGCTGGTCTTCCCCTCTCCTCAAAAGCCAACATACCGTATCATTAACCGCCGGCGTTTGATTCAAACTTGGATTTGAGCACTCTGCGTTTGTTTGAATTTTGACTTTTTTCTGAGCTTGCTGATTCTAGTAAATAAAGAAAAGGTCTAAAGGCTTTTTTTTGACCGACCGTGCATCTTGCGCATTTTTACCGCCGGTAAGTTTATTATTCCACAACTAAACGTATGTGGGGTTAATAGAGAAACGATACAGTGCCAAGATACAATAATAGGGACCTTACGAAACTACGAAGGCGACAGCAAAGACAACTTCAAAAAGCAATGGGTTTAGTTAGCAAAGCAACAACTCGCTGAACGTGCATAACGCTTTTTTTGTACATTTCTTTGCCGTCCGTGCACGACTACGATATGAAATGACCAAATTCGCGGCAGGTTTTTTTGAGGAAGGGAACGGCAAGGCGTTAAATTCTACCAACTCTGTCTGAACTTAATTAGGTGCCCTCTCTTCAGCTCCAACATAAATTCCCTTCTTTTAAGTAACTGGGCGACTCGGGATAATTGCGAAACGGTTTGAAAGAATGCGAAATCTATTTTACTGCAATGTTTTCATGGACGTCGCCGTTGTCGGATCGTAAGGACCCCAATGGAACAGAGAAGGAAACGTCCAGTCCATCCCTTGAGAGATACGTGAATTTCACCAAGGTTATTTTTAGACCAATTAAACGCTTGAAATTAATCGGAAATTGAAATTTGTTAATTGTTGTCAAGAGAAAATTTAACAGTCGCCGAAATTCGCTCTCTTTGTCGTTATTCTCTATAGATGGTATTTGATCTGAAAAGTGTCTTCAGTTCGTTGAGGACACGTAAAGGAGCACAGCCATTAATTCTTGAAAGATCTTGAAGCTTTAAATTATGATTCTCTCTAATTGACTTTCTCCTTTGTTAAAAAAAACCCTAAAATGTGCGTCTTCCACCGTATTTGCTTAAGGCTATGTTCCATCATACCTTATAGGTTTTGCACCGCCACGAAAACCATACCGGGTCAAGACCGGACAGGGATTCTGTTCACACATTAGAGGGAATTTTGGCGAGATTTCTCTAACGCGCGGAGCGAACCTGCCTCGCGCTGATCTCTAACTGAGTGGAGATTCTAAGCTATTCAGTATAGTATACACATAGCTTAAATCAGATGCGAAATGTAGAAAGTTGTGTGATTTTTGTACCAACAGCAAGCCACTAATTTGAATGTTTTCTTCCACAGTGCTGTCTATGAAATGTTTTTCATGTCAAGGAAACCTCTTCAATAGCTGCGAGAACACAACAAGTGAGATAGAATGTCAACCTTCTGGTTCTCGTTCGTACGATTCTTGCTTCACCGTGACCAAGACATCGGATTTCCCTCTGATTGGTCGGCGAGTGGAGACAATCAAAAACTGTTCCGTCTTAAAGGATTGCGGATTTCTCCAGAGCTTGTATTGTTACAACCATAGCGGTATCGTCGAAAACTGTTTTATTAAATGCTGTACTGGAAATCTCTGCAACGACAACACTCTGAAGCACGTAGAAAGTCCCGTAACTCGATTGAATTTCATAACAACAATAACGTATCCGAGTTTAACACGTGCTACGAGGAGTCAAGTAACCATAGCGACGCCTGGACTACCTGGGCAGCAGCTAACATCATCGTCCATGTCCCGGATTTACAGTGCATCCGCTGAGACTGGCATGAGTACAGGCTGGACTTCTGCAAGTACCCCAACGTATATGTTCAGCAGAGACCTTGTGCAACCTCCTTTAAGAAAAACTAATGCTCCATGTGGCGGTGCAGGTAGATCGTCACATATTTACTCGTCCTTACCTACTGTAATTTTGTTTGGCATTTTAAGCGTAGGTGCCATCATCGAGGGATTGTAACTCATATCAAAACGATGAAAACTAAACTGATGCTTGTAAATAAAACCTTGATCACAGATAATGCAGAATAACACTTTTTTTATTTCCTCTGTTACATGTACATGATCACGTAAAATGATCATTCAAATTAATTTTCTCATGTCAGAACAATTTTTCTCTGCCGTAGACGCTGTTTGAAGCTAGTGGAGCTGTATTTATCATGAATTCAAATATAAATTTGAGGAAAATTCGCTTAAGGGCGTATTTCAAAGCTATTTCGCATTAGTAAAATCCAACTAGTGGTCTATTATCAACGCTGCGTTCTGATTGGTTGAGCTACTACTAGGCCATATGTTATAACTCACTAGTAGCGAAAGGCGCTGGCTTTTTGGCCGCAAAAAAGGATTAAAGTCCAGCTTTAACAAGCTAAAAGTTTTTTATTCTCGATATTTTTGACCAACTAGTTGGATTTTACTAAAACAATTATTCCTCTAGCCCTCATGGCCTCTGAGTCAATAGCCCATGAGGCCGAAGGCCGAATGTGCTATTGACTCAGAGCCCATTCAGGCTCGAGGAATAATTGTTAATTATTTCGGGTTCAACGTGCCGACTCGATGTAGATAATCGATCGAACTAGCTTTATTGAATTTGGTGAAGAATTATGAGATGAACAGAGGCCCACACTCGAAAGGATTGATAAGAAGTTAGGCCCTTTTATAGCTAGATGAAATACAAACGTGCGTGATCTGTGAATTGGACCTCCTATTCTGGATACTAGACTTTGCCTGTTTTAGAGAAAAAAAGATTCAAGTTTTGATGACCTTGCCAGTCCCGTGAAATAGACGGCGATCCCGCATCACCGCCCGCAAAAAAATTAACAAAATTATACAATTACGGACACAAAATATCAAAACGGTTTACACAAGCAGATTATAGCAACACCAAAGCTCGAACACATTAATATTCGATCAAATTAGCGATATATAGCGATATTTGCTAGCTTCTTAGTTAGCTTTTCCTCGACCTCGCTCGCCCCAATAACTGTCGTATCCCTTGCTAATTTGCACCAGCGACGCGAGGCTCTTGCCCGTTACTTTGTGACGTCATACTGCAGGCGGAGAGGGTCAAGAAACTTAGGTGGAAAATAACAGAGTTACCTCCCACCCCCCCAAGAACGGTCTAATATGAGCACAAACCGTACCTCAAATGTCATTCTTAGCGCATTACTAATCTGTGGTAAGTTGGCTTACACAGTTCGATACGTTGTGAATCGTTTCCATTCATGGAACTGTTATTCGAGCACCTTTTCAGTTACCAAAGCTCAAAATTGGAACGGACAAAATAAGTTAAACACAAGATTTTAATCGTTACCATGGCAACAACGAAAGCAAGCCTAAAATTTTGAATTTATTAGGCTGACGCAAAATCCAGTCATTAGATTTGCTTATACGTTTGCACAAAGCTTACAATTAGTGGCTCTCATTAAAAAAAAAAACTGAACTGAACTGTAACAAACAGTTTTTGAAATTTTTTAGAAATAACTTTCACGAGAATTTGATTGTGTGACAAAACTCCCTTGGTCAACATTTACTTTGACGCCTTCAGTGGATGAAGTGCAATATGAACAGGATTTCAGTCTGCCATATTTCGCAAAAGTTTTGACTGTCGTCTGCTTATATTGCCTATGGAAGCAACACGTATTACTGAAGGATCGGCAACCCTCATTGATTGTATATTTATGCTATGAATGCCATGGGTGGTAACCTAGTCTCACAAATCTCTGATCATCTTCCTCAATTCTTGATTGTCAATCACAGAATGATAATCTGTTTTTTTAAATCGGTTCATGCCACTCAATACGGCATTCGTCTCTCCTTTACACTGGTACCAACCGTTGGAATTCTTTATCGTCAAAATATCAAGAATTCTATGATTGATGGTTATAATAGTGTTATCAATCCCTGAAGTTTAACTACTTTAAGTACTATTTAATTCATGAAGTAATACTTTTTATCTAAAACCACTATTTTGTCACCATATTCCTTCAACTCGTATTCTTGTTTTGGGTCATCTACTACGAACTACTTAGGTGTCCCAAACTCTGCGCAATGAACCTAGAATTGAAGAATGTGTTTTCCCTCTTCGCAATCTTTTATTTTCAATTTATATTTAAGGGCACGGAATTGTATTAATATTCTGTATGAGTTTAAATAAAATTGAATTGACTTGCAACAGAACACTAGCTCTCACATTGCCATCTAAGTACGCATACTCAACACTTGTGCTATCACTGTAATCAAGCCATATGTCAAAGGCGACGAAAATATTAATAAATTTCCACTAAAAACTACTGGGCATTTTCAAAACCGCGTGCCGTGTTGAACCGGGTTTCTTGAAACGTCATCCACGTGTCTGTACTCTAAAGATCATTGGCAACGACCAATCACAGCGCGCGTAATATTCACCACATTGTATGAAAGGGGATAAAGCATTTTCGGAGACTACAGTTCGGCTACCTTAAATCTGCACCTTTTTCTTTGCCGTAGCTTTCTAATACATTTAATCTATTTACGTTGCCTTGACGTACAACATTACAACTAATTCGTCATTTTACTATAGTATAGTCCACGTTTTGTGGCCTCGTATTCTAAAGGAATGTAATATTTCTTATCAACTGGCCAACAAGCTTAACAGTTTCACAGATTAATTTAGCCTAATGTGGCCAAAAACGCCGCCATAAATCCTAGAAAAATGGAACTAAAAACAGCACTGAATTCTGGGACGCCAGCGGATGGAGGTTCATTGACCTCAGGGGTGGGGGTTGTCGTGTTGCTTGACAACGAAACATTTGTTGACACGTCGCTGGATGCCGCTGGCTTAGTAACCGTTGCCGTTGGCGCAACTACCTCAGACGATCCTTGGTTGCACATATCTCCCTCGCAACAGTTAATTCTACACGTTGTTCCATTTGGAAGTCGTTCTGGCTTGCAAGCTGCAAGAATAAACGAAAGAGGAAGAGATAAAGATGAATATTTAGGCATTTTGAACTGCACTGCATTGTACCTAATTCTCAAAAATACAGTACTTTGAATCTTTCCACACGGGCATCGCGGTAAAGCCGAGACACTTCGGAGGAAAAATTAATTCCCAGCAACTGGCTAGAGACATTGCAATACCTTCTCAGTTTATGGGAGTTTTCCTGCTATTCTAGCTCGCACAATATCCGGTATAAGTACGATGACGTCAAGAAATCAGCCCCAGCTTTTGCGCGGAGTAGGAGCGGAACAACATGATTCCAGGCTTCGCAAGAAAGGTTTTAGAGAAATTTTCCTTGCTCGCTCTGAAACGACTCTCAACAGGCTAGTAAGAGTTTGCGCTCCTTATTTTCTCTAGTTTCTCGAGCCTGAGTAACATTAGTGAAAATAAGATAAATCCATACCTTCCTAGCGGCTCATTTATATTAAGTGGAGGAGGTGGTAGTTCCCTATTCAATTAACAGGAGAGCTTTTCGTCTTGTCTCTTTTGAATTTTGAGCCCTGAAGCTACCTTGTTTGGGGTATTAGAGCCTAAAAGGGCCCTTTATAATGTATACTTGTAGTATAAACCGAGGGATCGATGAGGGGAAGGTGGTTACCAAAAGAATTTTGTATAGGGCCTTGAACAGCACCTGCCGGAGAAACCCTCAACCTTTCACATACCACAGGTTCTTTTTTTTCAATTTTCCTTCCATGGCTATAGACAGCTGTTCCGCTTTCTATATACTCACAGAATCGAGCTCTGTTGTTATAGTTTTATAAACCTTAACCTTTATCCTTACCCTTTTTGAGCTTTTGAAAAAAAAGCTCAATGATGCCATATAACAAATGGGATTTTATACGTTCTTATCCGTTCGTTAGGGTCGCCAGTGTTGTTGCATCTAGCTCCGGGGGGGGAAGGGTATTCCCATATATGGGCTAGATAGATATGTGCCGCTAGATAGGGTGTGGTTTTTGAGGGTCTCCATCCTTAAATAGGGCCGTTTTTGCCGATTTTTTTTTCATACTTCGTCTTTTTGTCAATCAAATTATATCTTGATGCTGGAGATGGCAAGTACATTATGTTGTGTAAGTTTTGCTGGACGTATCCGGTTAGCGGTATTTAAGTTATAGAGGGGGGCCTCCGAAGTACCCCCGGTCTTAGGAATACCCCCAAAAAGCCCAGTTTGAATTAGCCTGTGTTGAGGACGTAAGTTAACCTCGGTTAGAAACGTCTGCGAAGTGGCGCCGATATCCTTGTTCTGCGGCTCCAACGGACTCAACTGATTACCGGGAGTGCGTTTCGAATTTCCTTTAATCTTGATTGGCAAATTGACAATGACCAATCCTGGCACTTACTCAAATCCTGGTACACAGGACGGAGGGGAAGAACAAGGATTCCAGCGCTGTTTCGCAGACGGGCTTAATCAGAGTTTGGTTTCGTCTGCAGCACAGGCTAAGTTTTAATATGGTTAACTACGTTTAATATTTCCCGAGGATCGCCCGTTTATTTTTAGGGTGGGACCCTCTTTCGGGGTGGTATACACCACAGGCCCTCCGCGTAAAGTTGCCTTGTGTATGACACTTACGATAGGCGGCGCCATCCTCTTGACAAAACATTGTAGAATGTGAACAATTTTTAATTATAACGGTTTGTGGCCCCCCAATCGTAAGATTCTTTATCATGGTAACAGTCATACAGCGATCTGCAAAGGCCTCACAGTTGATGCTTCTTACATTAGGACCATCACAAGGAGCGTCACCAGGGCCACAGGATTGACACTTGAGAGACAATGCTGCGTAAAAAAATAGCAAATCCTTTGAATTGCTTTTCGTATATTGAAACAATAACAACAAAACATACTACTTGACCAACAACAACAACAACGTAACTGCCTTACTACTACTACGACGACGACGACGACGACGACGACGACGACGACGACGACGACTACTACTACTACTACTACTACTACTACTGCTACATACTACTACTACTCCTACTATTACAACTGTAAATAAGTTAAATATGAAGTTTATTTCCTCCTGTATGAAAATACGTGATTCATTGTTAGTAATGTAGCTGAATTTTTTAGTTTATTATTAGTGTTGTTTGTTTTATATTTTGATTGTAATAGGCAGAGCGATTATTTCTTTTTGGAGAAACGAATGTTTAAAACAATACTTTAATATTTATGACGAAAAGGAACAATAACAGAAACTGTAACAGTAAAAAATATAGTCAATATATACGGTGAATGTTCAGTTAACGTGAGGGAATTTGAATCCATTTTTACGCCGATAGCTTTGACAGTGTCACTTACATCAATAACGTAAATAAAAGTTTTCTGGTGCGGTATCTTCGACGTCCAATTTGTTGATCCCGTCCAAAGGATCCTTCTCGCGTGGAAATAAAATAATAGGGAACTTAAGCAACGATGACAGCGAGGACAACGAGAACGGCAAAAGGGCAGTAGGTTTATATTAGCAAAACAACAGCTTCACACGTGCATTAGACTACGAGTAGTCCCCCATTTTTCCTCAGGGATAGTAGAGCGAGCGAAACGCGAGCGCGCGTGAAAATCACCCCACGCGAGAAAAGGCGACACGCGTGTCGCCTTTTCTCGCGTGGGGTGATTTTCACGCGCGCTCGCGTTTCGCTCGCTCTACTATCCCTGAGGAAAAATGGGGGACTACTCGTAGTCTACACGTGCATCAACCTTTTTTGTACATTTCTTAGCCGTCGTTGCACGACTACGACGTGAAAGTGTCTAATTTCACGTTTTGTCGAGGACGGGAACACAAGACAACAACTTTCTTTTTCTTTTCGTGAACAGTCATACAGTCCTTTAGAATTCAACTCCAAAAAAATTCGCCAACATTTGACGAATTAAACGAGATGGAATAAGCGCGATAAAGCTCGAGGCAGCGTGAATTCACGAATTCACATTTCGTAGCCGTCACCATCGTTGTTGCTTAAGCTCCCTAATTGCTCAATGTAACGGTAACTGTTCACGAGTTAATCTATTCGACGTCGATAGCGTCATTGTCACTCGCATCAATTACCAGCCGAGCAGTCGCCAGAAAATTTGAAGAAGAGATCATTCGTTTGAAGAATTTGTGCACTCACATGTATGCAACTATGGACATAATAGCTGAGAAAATCAGACGAAGACCACTGTTTTTGTAATGTGGCATTACCCTTCGTTTGTGAGCAATTAGAGGGAGATGAAACTCGATTGATACGACGTACCCGTACTCTAATATTAAAATAAATGATTAGAATAGGGGCGCGTAGCAGAATAGGGGCGCGTATTAACAAAAACACGTTCGAAGGGGGGCGCTTATCGGAAGGAGGGCCCTAAATCGAATCAATACTACTCAACTCGACAACTCACTCTGATTCTGAAGATGAAAACGTACAGGCTGTCGAAACGTCAGTCACTGTCACCCGGACGATCAAACTCAACCTACTTTTAAAAATAATGATATTCCAAAAAACGCCCAAGGAAATCTGTTGACAACAACTTTAAAATAGGCAAACGAGCACATTGCAATTGTTCAACATTACACCCTAGGTACACGTTTAATTCCAACTGGAAACTTTACTCTTGCACATGAACGCTTAAAAGAGAAAGCTCTACCTGCCTTCTTCAGTATACGGAAACATACCCTCCTTAATAGACTTCATTCCAATACCGCATCCCAGATTTTCTACACGATAATTTTTCCGGTATTAAGTTACAACATTGAGGTATGGGGGATGTACACTAAGCAAGACGTTTTAAAACATGGAACAGGTCCCCCATCTGAAAAAATTCATCTCCAGTTTTGTAAACGCTACTTTGAGGTGAACATTAAGGCCTCTAATTTAGCTTGCAGAGCTGAGCTTGGAAGATTACCACTAATAATACAAATTAAAGAGAAAATTATGAAATATTTGATTTATTTAAACAACAAAGATAATGACTCTGTAGTTAAACAATATAATGTTTCCTTATGTCGAAGAATCTTCACTCTGTTAACTGAATAAGTCTGGATTTTACTCCAATTTCATTAACACGGTAGAACAAAACAGTCCATCCAGTTTAGATCCTAACTATTTAGGAATAGATAAAATTAGGCGATACACAATCAATATGAATGAGAAATATATATCTTTCTGGCTACACAGCCCTGAACACTCAAAGAAATTATAATTTTATAAAGTTTTTAAAGATGAATACTCAACATCCGATTGAATATGAACGAGAAATGTATACCTTTCTGGCTACTCAGCCTTGAACACTCAAAGAAATTATAATTTTATAAAGTTTTTAAATATGAATACTCTACATCCGATTATTTATATCAGTTAAGAAATTTTAGTGAAAGGAGAAGATTAGTGAAGTATAAAATAAGCCGAACCACAAACTTATGATTGCACTTGGAAGATATCAGATCGAACATATGCTTAGGGAATAGATTATGTCCACTGTGTAAGTCCGAACAAAGCGAAGATGAAAATCATTTCTTGTTTCAATGTCAGGAATACTATTCGCTGACGGGAAGGTATTCTTACGCAAAATCAGCGAGATTGTAGCTGACATTGAAAGGAAACCGACTACTGAAATCATTAAACTTCTGATGAACTCTAACTAACTGTATTTTATAAATAAACTACTACTACTACTACTACTACTACTACTACTACTACTACTACTACTATTACTGGTATCTTAATTTAATCATGGTATCCAAATTGGAATCTGGAACCCAAGTTTCACTGACAAAGACTCCGGAATCTAGCACCTGGAATCTGGAATCCCTAGCGAGAAATTTAGAATCTAAGCAAGACTGTCTTGGAGTACCTTACATGCCGGGCGAGCAATGCATGCGGGGAAGTCTTGACAGCTGAAGAGCTTTACCATAAACATTGGGAAGTAAGTGGACTTTAACAAGCTTAAATATACAAGCCGCAATATCCACATAAAATTTCTCCAAGCCTATGTCGGATGTTGATTTCTTTTGCAGTGTTCACGCGTTTTTGGTTTTAAAGACGCGCGAGATGTCAAACGAGAAACCTCGTTTCCCCATTCCCCATCGTTTTCTCTTCTACCTCAGTTAAGCTTTCGCGTGGCTGTGTCTCTTTCTTTACGAGATAGTACCAAAAACAAAAAACAACAACAAAATCAGCAGAAAAAAAAAACGCAAATCATGTTCCTTGCATGATTAACAAGACTTTGCGTATTTCATCTTGCTCAATATCAAGTTCAAATTTAGGATAGACATGACAACAGCCTGGTTTCCACTAGCGCATAAGAATAAGCATAAGCATAAGCACAAGCATAAGGACATACGCACGCGCAGAATGGTTATTCGACTCAATTCTCGATACCAGCTCTCCTCAACCCGATGATAAAGAAGATGGCGGACGAAGACGATGTCTTCTGCTTATGCTTGTGCATATGTCGACCCCGTTCTCACTAGTCAAAGCTAACACATAAGCATAAGCATCACCACAAGTGTTCTCACTTGCTTACACATGTGCTTGTGCCTATATGCTAACTTTTATGCGCTAGTGAAAACCGGGCTTGAGAGAGGATTCTGACAACGATGCTGGGATCATGAAAAGAGCGATATGGATCCGTAGACGACCTAGAGGTATCTGAATTGATGGAGTGGATATTCCTTTATTTTTTTAACCCCCTTGATATTTTTGCCGAAAGCATATTAGTTTTGTTGAGCTTGTTACAGTTTTGAGAATAAACGCCCCTCCTTCTCTTTTAAACGCCTCCTATCTATTTAACCCCCCTTTGTGGACTCCAAAAATTAAGTAGATGCCCAGGGTGTTTAATATGTCATTTACGGTATTCGATATTGCAAAGTTTCCTTGGCTTACAGCTGTTTCGGATATCATGTAAAAAATGAAACGCCTTTGGATTTTGGGTTTTTCTGCAACGCCAAATCGGCGCTTTCTCGCCTTCACAGCTTAGCGGACCTCACTGCATAGAAAAAACGTTCATGGTTTGTGATTTAGATTGGTGGATTTCGATCCGTTTTTGAGCTATTTTGAAAAAATAGCTCATATGTCAGTGGTGTGAGCGTATGTATCTTTGCGGCTTTGTATCTTCCGATGTTCGTTGCAAGAGCCAATAAGGTTGAAGGTACTATGAGTTAATGCGTAGGAACCAATCAGATCTTGGCATCTATTAAACATAGCATTGCTAAAGGTCAAACAAAGGCACTTTGAGACCGCCATCTTGATTCTTCACAATGTTTTCGTCTTTTATTACGGCTACAGGTGTTTAGAAGCATTACATTAAATATCTTCATGATTCAAACGCTATGTACAGTGATGCAGCTGTTTAAGGGTTCATATTTTAGTGTGGATGCTGCTTCAAGACATTTCTGACCGCATACGGCTATCGCGAACGGTACAACGCACGTATTTATGAGTTCTGTTTCACCTGCTTCAAGGTAAAGTATAAAAGATCACATATTTTCAAAGCTCTTCCTTTGAAACAATAATTGATAGTTAGATATAGACTTTAATTCGAAAGTATGCGGCCTATAAATTGTGGTTTTAGATGTTTGAAAGGAAGCTTGATTTTTTTGGAAGTTGTACCGAGTATTGTTAATCCTGTAAACAAGCTTTATTCTCTCGCTTACAAAGTTCAAAAGACCTTTTTCGTTCCGGCAAAAAAAAAAAAAAAAAAAAAAATGAATAAGTGAACAAGATGATACATCTTTTCTGCTTACTAAGTATTATATAGTTATTGAAACGTATTTTATTAAAGTAGAATCGCACGAGATAACCTCGTGAATAATGATGATTCGACCATCTACAACAATGATAAAAATCTTTAGCTATTCGGTATTCGACAGCATCTTTAAGTCGTTGTCCTTGTCGTTGTCTTTGTGCCCACGGTTCAATAACTCAGATGACTAAAATGTGTTTTTCGTTTTTTTAGGGTAACAATCGTGACGCGTAATTTCCTCCTGTTCATACTGAACTAGGACTGAGAACATTCCTGGCTACTGGCAAATTGGGTGAATTATTTCGAAGTACGTATTTCTCTAAAGAGAAAAGTTTGTTTTCAGCTACTGATGTTTGTTTTTGATCGATTCGATTAGTAAGTATAACAAACATTTTTTCTTCTTTATTGTAGCTGGACCAGTGGCATGTCATGTTTTTTAATTGACCAGTCAAGTCATGCTTTCAATTGCTGTTCACAGTGCTTCGATTATTGGTAATATGACTTCTATGCCAGCACCATGACAATCAAAGCTGAATTTATTGGGCCAACGGTTTCATGATCATAGAGTGTTAAAATATTCACACGCGAACTTTGCAATCTTGCTTGAAATGATAGAGCTCAAAGTAGATAACAGTCCGCTTCAAAAAGTCTTCTGTGAGAGCGTTTAGCAGAGGAAAATCCAAGAGCTGATTTCGGACGATTGTATAAAAAGAAAAAGGCAATTTTCTTTCTTGATTAAAATTGTAACATTACACTATTGGCGAGAGACAAGACACAGCTCAAGATTCAAGATCATTATCTGTTTACGTGTCAGATATCATGTTACTCGCGTGGCAAATTATGTTTCGTTTTGGTTATTAGTCGAGCTTGTTTGACAGAGCGAGACTCTAAAAATGCACGCGTTTTTTGTTTTTTCGTCGGTCTTCCTCAATTGGTCGGCAATGGTCCCAGGCGTTCCTAGCGGAGACCGTGGAAACTGGGGATATGAATCGTGACGGCTTTTGTTGTGTGCAAACGAGTCTCGTGATGCCAGCATGCGGTTTATTTTCGGCGATGACTGAAATGACTGTTTGGCAATGATGTAATTCTCCCCGATTCGAGACCCTTGATTTTCGTGTATTTATGCATGGGTATTAGTATAGGTAATAGCATGATTTGTAGTGATATTTGGCATAAATACCACGAGTGATATTTCGAAATTGTTATACGAACCGTTAGGGGAGTGAAATTTGAGACAATTTTGAAATATCACAAGTGGTATTTATGCCAAATATCACATACATGTCCAAATCATGCTATTATTTGCTTATACTACTACCCACAAAAGGTTTGTAATCTTCACATGTAGGTATTTCAAATTAAGCTGAAATACCACTGCTCTAAGCCAATCAAATTGCAGTAATTTTTCATGTAGTAGTATAAAAAAGGAAATACCTCGATGAGGAAACATTATAGCGGGAAAGTCCTGTTTTGTGGTGTATTGAGGCGTTAAGGTTCTCAGAATATTGTCGCAATTACATTTTTTCTTTTTTTATTGTAGGCGGACCACTAGCATGCCATGTTTTTTTTAATTCACCATTCAAGTCATGCTATCAATCGCTGTTGACACACTGTTGACTGTGCTCCGATTATTTGGAATGAGGTCCTATTGCCAGAACTATGACAATCAAGGCTGAATTTATTGGAGGGCCAACGGTGCTGAGATGTTTCATATCAGTATTTAAATATTTACACGCGAACTTCGCAATCTTGCTTAAAATGACAGAGCTCGAAGTAGATAACAGTGAGTCCGCTTCAAAATGTCTTCTTCGAGGGCGTTTAGCAGAGGAAAGTCCAAGAGCTTCTTTCGGACGGTTGGGAAAAAAAAGTAATTTTGTTTCTTGACTAAAATTGTAAAGTTACGCTATTGACGAGAGACAAGACACAACTCAAGATCAAGATCATTATCTGTCTTACGTGTCAGATATCATGTTACTTTGTCTTGGTTATTAAGAAGAATTAGAATTAGTAGTTCAATCCCACATGTAAGTGTAAAAGATGTTGCAGTTTTTTCATAGCTGGTATTAAATGATAGCGATTTTATTTATTTGTCCAGGGAAGGCAAGCCTAGTTTCAACACGACACTTGGCTATTCCTGATAATTAAAAACTGTTGTAGCTGACTATTGTTTTAGTTTCTAAAGGTATCTTGGAAGACTAGAGATCAATTCCTGGTTGTACTGCCAGAGAAGTCTTGGGTAGGTTTCAACCCTCAAAAAGCTGAAAAAGTTGTTTTACATTATAAGGGAAAAAAGGAAATTAAAATATTTTAATATTTTAATTCTCCACTGAAGATTCTCCAAAAGTCAAACTTGCTGAGTTATTCACTCTGAAAGCAGTCAATTTATACATTTCATTATCAGTAACTCTATTTTATTCCGAACCTTTATGCTCGGCCTCTCTCATTCTCTTTTATAAGTCTCCCTCCTTTCCCCTATTGATTAAACATCAGGTCGAGTTACACCTACGTGTAAACACTCGAGTATGACTCCATGCCGGCCCAGGCTGTTGAGGAGGTTTTGAGAGATCACCTGCAAGTGACTTCAGTTTCAACAGAAAATATTAAAGATTGAGATCCCAGACAAAAAAAATCGCTTAGGGGAGCAAACCCCGGACGCGTTCGGTTGCGAACGAAAGCTTAAATTGCAGTCCTTGTCTACTTCGGCATCCCCATTTGTTGCTACTTTGCTGGCAACAACTCTACTTGTTTGCAGTGTTTTTCGTTTTCGGTTTTAAAGCCACGCGAGATGTCAAACGAGAAACTTCTTTTCACCACCCCCCATCGTTTTCTCTTTTTACCTCAGTTAGCTTTCGCCTGGCTCGGTATCTCTTATTTTACAAGCTAGAAACAAAAACAAAAACAACAACAACAACAAAATAAACGCCTCCTATTTATTAAACTTCCCTGCTTAGACCCCCAAAATTAAATAGACGCCCGGGCGTTTATTAGGCCATTTACGGTATTCGAAATCGCAAGGCTTCTTTGGCTTAGTGTTTCTCTTTTTGCTTTCAAAATTTACACGACGCACTTCGGTTATAGAAGAATGCATACCTGCAGCAACGCTTGGAGGATGTGTTTTTATCTCCATAACATTTGGAGAACAGTTGTGACAAAATCGCGAAAAAAACGTGAAATTTTTAAGTTTTGCAATTTCCGTTAAAATTGTAAGATCAACAGTGCCGCTTTGAGGATCATGTGTTTTTATTTTGCATAACAAAGGTGAACCAGTTGTAAGATCCGCAGCGCCACTTTTCGTTCGGCGAAAAATCGTTAATTTTGTAAATTTTGTAGTTTGCGCAAGGCCATCGCAAAAAATCGTTGATTTTGTAAATCCTGAACATAAGTGAACAAGCCTGGCCAATAACACTTTTCCACTATATCATAAAAACTTAAAAGGCAACTGATGAAAAAGAAACCCAACGCTTTTTGATCGCGAAAAGGGCATATCTTGCTTTGATATATTTTAAAAAGTTTAATTCAAGTACACCAACCCCATACGGCGTTTAAAATTAGCATCTTATTCTAAGGCTGATTTTTTTACACAGTATTTGGGATTCGATAACGTCTGGTTTTATTCGCTCCCATTAAAGGGAGTTATTTTAATGAAAGACGTGCGGTTTAGAAACTGTTGTATTTATGATAATCGACCGTTTTTCTTCCAAGAAAAGGTGTGTTCTTGACTTTCTAAGCTACTGACTGGACTGAACAGAGAAAAACTCCCGTTTAAAGTATTTGTCAATATCTGTTCCTATCGCCTTATTCCTAAGAAAAGAAAAGTAAAAGATATTTTGACAGGAATTAAATATGTGTCAGAGAACAAAACGAAGGTTTCAAAAACACAGAAAATTCCCGAATTTTTACTCAACGAATCAATTGAATAAAGGCTTGCTTGAAAAGGAAATAACGTCTCAACAGCGTCAATCAAATAATATCTTGGAACAGTTCTCTGATCATTTAATTTTTTTTTTTTGAATTACCAAAAATGCGTTAATTTCTCTGGCTCTAAAGGTCCATTCTCAAAATATCTATTTTACTCACGGTTTGATGAAGCTTTCTACAGCACGTTGCGCCTCGCCGTCGCGGGTTCGTCGCGCGGCATAAATAACGAGCGATATTCTTCGCCCCAGTAATAGTAGAATTTATGGCAAAGAACCTTGATATCTAAAGGAAACATATTTATAGCGAACATATTTCCATGGCAGTCCCTTAGTCATTCATTATATCAAGGCTCCACTGTAGTTTGTGTCACCAAACTGTTGTGAATATACCGTTTAAAAGCGAGCAGAATAGATACTTAAAATATGACTGAAAAAGCCAGTTCATGAACTTTGCCAAAAAAATAAAAATAAAAAAGGACCACGCATTATTTGTTAATCAAGCTGCGCTTGCTTTGAAACATAACTCTCTGAGCATAGGTCTTATTACCAACAACTAAATGAATGGTTGATATAGCTTAAAACGGGGTAAATTATGCTGTCACAAGCAACCGCAACGCGGGATCGATGCGTTCGTTTCAAATATCTATTGGGGTGCCATAATTTAAATTTCGTATATAGGCAGTTGGGTAGAAAAACTGTTAAAGTTAATTTCACTGAATAAATAAAAACGCGTCGAATCTACTTTTCTGTATATTTTCGTTCATGTTATACAATCATACGGATTGTTTTTAGGTCCAAAAAAGCCTCGAGCCGGGAGAACATAATGGCATCTTCAAACTTACCGTTAGGTGTGAACAAAAGGGTGAGCCCACATACGAGAAAAGCCAGCATTTTGTTCTATTTTTTTTTGCCAAATTCTCTAGATTGTCTTGAACTTATCCTTCACCGGCACTCCCTTTGCTGGATGAATAAATGGGTTTTCTTCTTAATGGTCACAATGATAATGGGAACACGATAAATAATGTAATAGAAGATTATTGTTGTAAATATTGCTGTCAGTCTTTTCTACCTTTACGAAAAAGATAAGTTTAAAACTATTCATAATTTTTTAAAGGCTTACATAGTTATAGTCAAACACCGACAAAATCTCTTACAACAACAAAAAAGATAATAAACGTAAACGCGACAGGAAATGTTTTTCCTTCAAGAAGTGTATTCGCGTGTTATTAAACTTCAAGATCATTTGAATATAATTCACTTTTTTCAAAATGCGGTTTTTGTTATGATTTCTTTAGAAATTAAATCTTTAATCAACCATTCACGTTGAATTAAAATAACCGAAAAATCCGCTGTTAAAAAGTAATCAAGCAAAAGAAACAGAGCTACTTTGAGCGGAATCTCCTTATTTGCATAGCTCACTGAAACTCTTTAAAAAGGCTTTTCTTATAAAATATGCTAAATATAACGACATTTCAACATAAATGTTTTGCATTTTCAAAATTTAAAATTTAACAGAAGAAACATTTTCATTGCTCGGGCTTTCGTTGGATAGAAAAAGACGAGACTGTTAGACTAGACTAGTGTTTTCTCCTCTCTTCCGCCGCAGCAAACCTCTTGCATCCGAAACGTTTTCCCGTGTCCGTTAACCATCTTCTCACAGGGTTTTCTCAGGGCTATAAGATTAATGGCTATTCAGGTCCAAGACCCCCCAAGGAATATTCTAACCTTTCCTATGCAAATACCGATGCATTGGTTATTGTACCCTGGGCCACACAGCGGGGCCTTTTCGCACCCCTCCCTTTTCAAACCTGCAGTTATACCCCATTGGGGTCATTCCCAAGAAACACTCCTCAGAACTGCGTACTATATTCACCTTTCGTATCCGAAATACCGCCCCACCAGTGTCACCGCCCACGTTCCTCCCGAGTCCTATTCTTTGCAATACATTAACATTGACCATGCAATTGCCATACTTCAGGATCTCGGCCCAGAATGCTTCATGTCCCAACTAGATATAAAATCAGCATTTCCCAATGTTCCTGTCCATCTCTCGGATTGGGAACTCCTAGGATGGAATGGGAGGGGCTCTATTTCTTCGATATAGTCCTCCCACTCGGTCTTAGGTCTGCCCCCTTTCTTTTTGATGAATTCTCTTCTGCTCTTGAATGGATCATTCGAACTAAAGTCAATATTCCCAAGGTTATTCATATACTAGATGATTTCTTTTTTGCTACCTTCCCTCCCCGATCAAAATGCATGACTGCTCTATGCTAAATTTTAGAATAGAATATCCCCATAGCTCCTGGGAAAACCTTCCCTACATGCACATGCCTTGAATTTGTAGGCATCCTATAAGATTCCAATAAAATGGACGCCCGTCTCGCTCCCGGTAGATAAACTCACCCGCATACAGGAAGCCCTTGGGCAGTGGCCTAATAGGAAATCTGCTACCTTACAGGTGCTCCTGAGTCTTTGATTAGCTCCCTTCAACTTGGTTGTAACGTTATTGCCCCTGACCGCCCCCTCTTGCAAATCCATTATTCACCTTAAAAAAGGGATCAAGTTTCCTCACTGGCACATTCGCCTTAATTCAGGTTTTCCTAAGGACATTAATATGTTGCAACACTTTCTCCAAAATTGCATTGGGGTGTCTTTCTTTTCATATACCTAGGCCACCTCTCCACCGGGACTTCAACTATACACTGATGATTCTGGTTCCCTTGGGTTTGGGGGTTTCTAAGTGAGTGAATGGTTCTAGTGCCACTGGCTCCCCCACCACATGCCCTCAGCCAAAAAAGGGGTATCAGTATTCAATGGCAGGAGCTATTTCCCATATATTTGGCTTGTATTTTATGGGGTCTCCACTGGTCTGGTAAAAGGATCCGCATGTGGTGTGACAACAAGTCTGGTTGTCATCATAAACTCTAAACACTCCATGTCCCCCCAGGCAATTGACCTCGTTTGAGCAATCACACATCAAACGCTCAAATACAACTTTGCATTTACGGCTGCTCACATCCCGGGCTGAGACAATTCTATTGCTGATTCCCTTTCCCGTTTTCAGACGGACTGGTTCCGTACCCTGGCTCACTGCGCATTTCCCCTCCATCAGCGATGAGCGTCTGAGAATCGTGGAAAGTACAGCGGTCAGGAGCCAAGATTGACGCAAAATTTTGAGCTGCAACTTCTTACCTTAATGAGTCGTTTTTCTGCTGGTATTTTATTGGTAGTTTTCACTGAATTATGCCAAAAGAGACAGTTTCTTCACTAAAGCAACAAATTCAAGATTTAAAGGATAAGGTCTTAACAAGACTAATGATTGCTTAATGTTAAGACAACATGGCGAGCGTGGAGTTGCGAGCTCTGATGAAACGTGGTCAAACTCCATCTCATTTGATGATAACAAGCATCAATAAAAATGAAATGGTTAGCCAACTGGTCTAAGAGATTTTGTACAATCCCAACTCAACTTACAAGGGTCGTGGGATGAGAAAAACAATGGAAATCAACTTGTATTCAAATGCGGTGATAGATCAGCCACAATTAACTGGTACAATAAAACATCGACATGACAGGTCCAGGGCCCAAACAAGGATCAAGTGAGAAGAGATACTGCGCATTGGGCGAACAAGAGTTCGACTAAATCGCCTCCATCCTTAATTGATATCATTTACCATCCATTTCATCGACTGTGGGCAGCGAAAAGTTGGAAGCAACTACTGAGGCTGAATTAGCAGTGAAGAGGTTATTATCCAAGAAATTAGGAAATCCAAGGCAAGAATAGTACAGAGTCTTCACAACCTTGAATGTCGGCCTAGTGAAATTGTTCAAGAAGTTTAAATCCATTTGTACATGAAGAAGCCCATCAAGTAGAAAACCAAGATGTTGAAATCTACGAATCCACAAGTGTTAATGGCAATCATGAAGCCAGCGAGTTAGGAACCCATCAAAGCCGATTCAAGAAATTGACACACTTATTGTGGGCGACTCCGCAAAATCAAAGATATCAAATCAAACCTAGGGGGACCGAATATGATTAGAAGGCAATGCCTCCGTGGTGCAACAGTTGAAGAATGTACATCTAAAGTCTATTTTAGCGTTTACAAACGTAATGTTGCCACGAATAACAAAGCGATTGACGACTCGCCAAAGACCATTGCAAGTAAACTAGAAGTTCTCATTGAGAAGGGAAGTGCTGCCGTTAGTTGCAATGCGAATAGGACAAAGACAGTTTGTAGAACAGTTGAACATGTGAATTTTTTTATTAAAGTCTGCAATAACTTAGACTTCTTGGAATTATGAAACACTCAGGGCGTAATTCAAAAAATTAACCCATCACGATGACAAATATTCTTACATTCAGATAACTCGCTAAGGTTTCAATACGATTTTGTAATTCATTTTAATAATTCACGAAATTCTAAAACAACAGCAGTGCTGATAGGCTGTTGCTTCATCGAACAATCATCGTACACATGATAAGATGAGTTGCGAACAAATAACGTAAAGGCCAAAACTTGTTATTCACAGGTCAGGTAGACGTACAGCACATGCTGTTCACTTATGTAACTTACAATCCTGATTCCCGAGATAACAGTCTGTGTGACAAAAGAATACCCGCTATAACTAAAAATATACCGAAAAAAAAAATATACCGAAAAAATGTTCCCTACAATACTTCTTGAACTGGTCTTACCGTTTAGGCCGTTTAAAAAGACAGCAAACATCCGATGAACTACGATTTCTGCACAGACCTTACGTGAGAGCTAAACAAAATGGCGGGTTGCTCCGAAGAGAAAAACAGGCGCGGCAGCTAAGCACTTGCTGGTAGGTACGTGGTGTAAGCATCATATAGTGGTTCCCCGTAAGTTACTAGAAGCAGTCTACATAATCCTACATAGCCCTACATAGCCATACACAGCCCTACATAACCATACACAGCCATACATAGCCATACACAGCCATACACAGCCCTACACAGCCCTACATAGCCCTACATAGCCCTACACAGCCCTACATAGCCCTACATAGCCCTACATAGCCCTACATAGCCATACATAGCCCTACATAACCATACATAGCCCTACATAACCATACATAGCCCTACATAGCCCTACATAGCCATACATAGCCCTACATAGCCCTACATAGCCCTACATAGCCCTACATAGCCCTACATAGCCCTACATAGCCCTACATAGCCCTACATAGCCATACATAGCCCTACATAGCCCTACATAACCCTACATAGCCCTACATAGCCCTACATAGCCATACATAGCCCTACATAGCCATACATAGCCCTACATAGCCCTACATAGCCCTACATAGCCCTACATAGCCCTACATAGCCCTACATAGCCCTACACAGCCCTACATAGCCCTACATAGCCCTACATAACCCTACATAACCATACATAGCCCTACATAACCATACATAGCCCTACATAACCATACATAGCCCTACATAGCCCTACATAGCCATACATAGCCCTACATAGCCCTACACAGCCCTACATAGCCCTACACAGCCCTACATAGCCCTACATAGCCATACATAGCCCTACATAGCCCTACATAGCCCTACATAGCCCTACATAGCCCTACATAGCCCTACATAGCCCTACATGACCATACATAGCCCTACATGACCATACATAACCCTACATAGCCCTACATAACCATACATAGCCCTACATAACCATACATAGCCCTACATAACCATACATAGCCCTACATAGCCCTACATAGCCATACATAGCCCTACATAGCCCTACACAGCCCTACATAGCCCTACATAGCCCTACATAGCCCTACATAGCTACATAACCATACATAGCCCATACATAGCCTAGCATAGCCCTACATAGCCCTACATAGCCCTACATAGCCCTACATAGCCCTACATAGCCCTACATAGCCCTACATAGCCCCCACATAGCCCTAAATAGCCCTACATAGCCCTACATAGCCCTACATAGCCCTACATACATAGCCCTACATAGCCCCACATAGCCCTACATAGCCATACATAGCCCTACATAGCCCATAGCCCTACATAGCCCTACATAGCCCTACATAGCATAGCCCTACATAGCCCTACATACATAGCCCTACATAGCCCCCTACATAGCCCTACATAGCCCTACATAGCCCTACATAGCCATACATAGCCCTACATAGCCCTACATAGCCCCTACATAGCCCTACATAGCCCTACATAACCATACATAGCCCTACATAGCCATACATAGCCCTACATAGCCATACATAGCCCTACATAGCCCATACACATAGCCCCACATAGCCCTACATAGCCCTACATAGCCCTACATAGCCCTACATAGCCCTACATAGCCCTACATAGCCATACATAGCCCTACATAGCCCCATACATAGCCCTACATAGCCCTACATAGCCCACATAGCCCTACATAGCCCTACATAGCCCTATAGCCCTACATAGCCCTACATAGCCCTACATAGCCCCATACATAGCCCTACATAGCCCCCTACATAGCCCTACATGACCATAGCCCTACATAGCCCATAGCCCCACATAGCCCTACATAGCCCTACATAGCCCTACATAGCCCCATAGCCCCTACATAGCCCTACATAGCCCTACATAGCCCCTACATAGCCATACATAGCCCTACATAGCCCTACATAGCCCTACATAGCCCTACATAGCCATACATAGCCCTACATAGCCCTACATAGCCTTACATAGCCCTACATAGCCCTACATAGCCCACATGACCTACATAGCCCTACATAGCCATACACAGATAGCCCCTACATAGCCCCTACATAGCCCTACATAGCCCTACATAGCCCTACATAGCCCTACATAGCCCCACATAGCCCTACATAGCCCTACATAGTCTACATACATAGCCCTACATAGCCCTACATAGCCATACATAGCCCTACATAGCCCTACATAGCCCTACATACACAGCCCTACATAGCCCATACACACAGCCCCACATAGCCCTACATAGCCCATAGCCACATAGCCCTACATAGCCCTACATAGCCCTACATAGCCATACATAGCCCTCCTACATAGCCCTACATAGCCCTACATAGCCCTACATAGCCCTACATAGCCATACATAGCCCTACATAGCCCTACATAGCCCTACATAGCCCTACATAGCCCCTACATAGCCCTACATAGCCCTACATAGCATCCTACATAGCCCTTACACAGCCCTACACAGCCCTACATAGCCCTACATAGCCCTACATACATAGCCATACACAGCCCTACATAGCCCTACATAGCCCTACATAGCCCTACATAGCCCTTAGCCCTACATAGCCCTACATAGCCCTACATAGCCTCTACATAGCCCTCCTACATAGCCCTACATAGCCCATAGCCCCACATAGCCCTACATAGCCCTACATAGCCATACATAGCCCTACATAGCCCCACATAGCCTACATAGCCCTACATAGCCCTACATACATAGCCCTACATAGCCCTACATAGCTATACATAGCCCTACATACATAGCCCTACATAGCCCTACATAGCCCTACATAGCCCTACATAGCATAGCCCCACACATAGCCCTACATAGCCCCACATAGCCCTACATAACCATACATAGCCCTACATAGCCCCTACATAGCCCTACATAGCCCCCTACACAGCCCTACACATAGCCCTATACATAGCCCTACATAGCCCTACATAGCCCCCACATAGCCCTACATAGCCATACATAGCCCTACATAGCCCTACATAGCCCTACATAGCCATACATAGCCATACATAGCCCTACATAGCCATACATAGCCCTACATAGCCCTACATAGCCCTACATAGCCCTACATAGCCCTACATAGCCCTACATAGCCCTACATAGCCCTACATAGCCATACATAGCCCTACATAGCCCTACATAGCCCTACATAGCCCTACACAGCCCTACATAGCCCTACATAGCCCTACACAGCCCTACATAGCCCTACATAGCCCTACATAGCCCTACATAGCCCTACATAGCCCTACATAGCCCTACATAGCCCTACATAGCCCTACATAGCCATACATAGCCCTACATAGCCCTACATAGCCATACATAGCCCTACATAGCCCTACATAGCCATACATAGCCCTACATAGCCATACATAGCCCTACATAGCCCTACATAGCCCTACATAGCCCCCATAGCCATACACAGCAATACATAGCCCCTACATAGCCCCACATAGCCCTACACAGCCATACACATAGCCCTACATAGCCCTACATAGCCCTACATAGCATAACCATACATAGCCCTACATAGCCATACATAGCCCTACATAGCCCTACATAGCCATACATAGCCCTGCATAGCCCTACATAGCCATACACAGCCCTACATAGCCCTACAGAGCCCCACATAGCCCTACATAGCCCTACATAGCCCTACATACATAGCCATGTACATAGCCCTACATAGCCCTACATAGCCCTACATAGCCCTACATAGCCCTACATAACCATACATAGCCCTACATAGCCATACATAGCCCTATAGCCATACACAGCCCTACATAGCCTACATAGCCCTACATAGCCCTACATAGCCCCCACACAGCCATACAGCCTACACAGCATAGCCCATAAACAGCCCATAGCTAGCCCATAGCCATACATAGCTCCATACATAGCCATACATAGCCCTACATAGCCCTACATAGCTCCCACATAGCCCTACATAGCCATACATAGCTATAGATAGCCCTAGCCATAGATAGCCCCTACAGCCCTACACAGCCATACATAGCCCCATATACATAGCCATACATAGCCCTACATAGCTATACACAGCCCTACACAGCTATACATATAGTCTACATAACATATACATAGCCCTACATAGCCCTACAGAGCCATACACAGCCCCTACACAACCCTACATAACCCCAGCATAGCCCTACAGATAGCCCTACATAGCCCCATACACAGCCCTACATAGCCTCTAGCCATACATAGCCCTACATAACCATACATAGCCCTACATAGCTATATAGCCTTACGTAGCTATACACAGCCATACATAGCCCTACATAGCCATATATAGCCCTACATAGCCATACACATCCATACACAGCCCTACATAGTCATACATAGCCCTACATAGCCATACACAGCCATACACAGCCATACATAGACCTACATAGCCCTACATAGCCTTACACAGCCCTACATAGCCCTAGACAGCCATACATAGCCATACATATAGCCATACACAGCCATACACAGCCATACATAGCTTTACATATATATATATATCGAACACAGGTAGCTGGAGACTTATGACCGCGGAAATTTGCGGGTTTTTACTCCCGCTCGAATTATAGATGGGAGTAATAAGACCACCCCATTAGGTCTCAGGCATGGTACAGGCATCAATATGTAAAGACTAGCTTTTACCATTTCACTTCTAATTTATCCGAAAATGGGCTGGGTTAAGAGATTCATTAGAATGAAGAGTTTGGAAATATTTCAGCCACTTTTTCTCTGAGATTGATAGGACATCCTCTCTCGTACATAACCCTACATACCCCGACAGATTTCAGGTATTAAGAAATTCAGTACATACTGGGAGATTTTAATTTTTAATTTTCTTTCAAATCCCTTAGAGGTTCACACTATCCATCTATTGGACTTCATGGTTGAATATTGATTGACACAATTCATCAAAGGACCTACAGAGTTTATGCCAAATCGTATACTCGTATTGATGTATTTATTACATGTACACCCCGGGGGTGACACTCTCATAAAATTGAAGGGGATGCTCATCGTTTCCCTTAGTGCTGTAAATTGCCGATTTTGGTGTCACCTAAAGTTATTTTCGACACTATATTTGATCATGGCTGTGCATAAATAAATTCCGTGACACTGACCTATAGATGTCTGTTTTAGTAGGGAAATCCACACCCTCGCTCGTCTCCTTAGGGGTTAGTAATTTAACTTTCCCACACCCCACCTAGTGATACACATCATCAGATCTTGATCGCTAAAACGCCGCATAATTGTCGACACCAATGGATGTGACTAAATAAAGCAACTAGTGATTCCACACCTAGCTGTGCAATAGACCCTTCGTTGTTCATTCTAGTCTTCACCTTTTCATGAAGGGACAACTCCGCAAAGTCCGCTATAAAGTGCGGCTTTGAATTAGTTAAATCAGTCACTAGGTTTGAACGTGATTTCTTGTAAACTAACCAAGATGTAGCTTCTCGAAGGAACGAAATTTTAAGAAATCTTATGGCGAAATTTTAATTTTTTTGGGGGGGGGGGAGGCAAACTTACCCGCCACCATACAAACATGACATATCACTTTAAAATTTGGCAGTCTTACTAACTTTGAGGCTTCTTTCTAGTAGTATTGACAGATTTTATCGTTACTGGTCCATGTCAAAATTGGAAAAAGCGTTGAAAGGGCTATCCACACACGTTCCACCCGGGATGCGAACTTTGACAAATATAAAAAGCATTATCTGCGTGGTACAACCGGAATAGAAAAAGTGGATGGAGGGAGTTGTATCCGGCTGTTTTCGCTGTCATATAAATGGGCCCATGTCTGTAGCCTCCACTGTAGACGATCTTAGGTGTTTCGTCACGCGTTCCTCGGGCAGGAACGCATGACGAACCCCTAAAAACGTTTTCGGGGAGGCTACTATATCTGAGGCTGAGGGGGTTATTTTTACTAACTCGGAATTTAGAGGCGTGTGCCGCCAGGGTTTCTTTCTGTAACGTTTGGGTTACGATTACTCGTGACTCGTTGAAATGGAAAACGGGTTGTAGATAGTTATTTATAAAATTCGCATTTGACAGTCGAACCACATACTTTACTATTTGGGGTGGCAGAAAACAAATCCAATCTTGTTTTTTTTTTTTTTTATCAGGTGCTCCCAACGAGTGTTTTCGGCTAACTTCCTTCCCTAGGATATAATTTGGGCGTCATGGTTTCTCACACGATTATTCTTGAGTTCAGATGGTAGGAAGGAACAGAGCGGGAAAAAACGGCGAGAATGAACGCCCAAAGTGGCTTCATTAACCAACTCGGCTTTAAAAAGTTGCTTTATTATTGGTTTATTCAACAATCTAACTACTAAGTTGTAAAATAATCCTTAAAAAAAATCCGTTTGCGTATTGATCGATCCTGAGTGACAAAATATTGCCACAATCGTGCTACAGTTTCACACAATATATCAACGTTTCTTCTTTGAAACGTCCGCTAAAACTTCAGAAACATCCTCAGGAAAAATTAAGGCATGGGCCCCAAAATGATTCAGTCAAAAAAAAGATGGGGTGGTCTGTCTCTGACACTTAAGCACTAGAAAAGATGAGACTTTGCCAGATACATGTGTGGTTTCTGTCAATTTGGTGTTTTCCAATCATACAAATGTTGTCACGTGACTCCATACTGTCAGAAACCAATAAAAAATCTTCCAACAAAAATGGCAACTCTTGTTGTTGTGAGTCATAACACCTAACTGGTTTAGGATAATGTGTAATTCAAGCACCTACAAAACTGTGCTTGGCCTTTTTTGAATTTTTTACTGTTCTAGAAAATAAACGGTTTTTTCAACTAGAAGCACAGAAGTGATAATATATTAAACGGCCTTAACATTATGCAACCGGTAAAAAAGTTGAGGACACACGAAAAAGCGTTGCCTTTTCAAGAGCAATCTTTTTCAGCCAGTGGAGGTCACGTTACCTAATTAGCACATTAAGCCGAAAAAAAAAAAACATTTTCAAATGGTATGAGGCATCACTCAAATGACAATTATAAAGGTGAACCTTTCTTAACAACTTTCTTTAAGGTCGCCCGAACCTTTTTATATGTGCGTTCGTTATGTTTTTGAATCGCGTTTCTCGGCAGCAATGAATTAACCGATTTCTATGATTTTGGCATCCTTAATAAAGAATGGTCCAACTTTAAGAAAAGGTTATTTATTTTCTTGAAGGTATAAACACGTTTGAGATATCGGCATATGGTTAAAACCCCATTTTTACAAAAAAATGCCAATTATTTCGAAACCCGAAGACAGACAGATAACCAACGCGCATATAAATAGGTTTGGGCCACCTTAACAAGTTCAACATGTTGTGGACCACATAGGTTTTTACTTTGATTGAACTATATCTTTTCAGTAGCTTTAATGAAATAGATGAGACGGCACTGGATCAACGTTTTCTTCTTTGTCTCTTTCCTGTGCAATAAAATATGTGAAATTAGTGAAGTGGCTACTTGAACATTAACAAAAGTAGGTACTTGTGGCATCAATGTATTGTTTAACAGCAAGGAGCCTAAAAGAAAAGTTATAGGGGGGGGGGGGATGGGAATTTTCGAGCCGCAATAATTTTTTTTCGTTATCAAATTCCTTGTATGAATATTTTTTAGGGTTAATTGGCGTGCAAGAATTTTTTTTCATATAATTTTCCCTATCGCGAATTTTTTTTTTTACTTCGCCCGCCTCCCCCCCCCCAATAAGTTTTCTAATGGTCCGTCCCTAATTCACATTCTTCCTTCCAGACATTAACCAATCAGAAGTCGAGGACAGTTTCCAAAAATTACGTGCAACAATTAACAGATTAAAATAATAAAAATAATAGTCGACGATTAATTCTTTTCAACAAATAAAAGTGCTGGTCAAACAAAAGCTGACGTTACCTGTTTGAACTCCAGGATGCTGAGCATATGCCAGAGACGAGACTTGGCGACTACCTGCCAGGGATTCAAGTAAAATATTCTGAGATATTGATTCTATTTCATAGCTTTTGTGGATGCTTGCTGTCTTTTATTTCCACTACTTTTGATAGAGCCATTCGAAAAAAAAAATGACGTCCGAGAAGAAAGTGCATATGGTTGCAGTTACTTATAAATACGGTTTTAATTTAGGCAATGGAAGGAGTGTGTTCTGTAAAGTCTTGTTGCTTAAAGCTTAAAAAAGCAATTTAAAAATAAAGAACAGAAGATAGAGTAAGCGAGGAAAATGAAGACATTTGAACGAAGGTACAGTTACCCCACCCAATTACAAATTACCTTTTCTCTTTCCCTTTTGTTTCTTCTTTTCCTGGTTGTTAGACTCTTCTACTGTTGAAAGTAAGTCACGACGTTAACGTAAGTTGGTCTTTATGGCCTCATGGTCATTAGCCTTAAAACTTTTAACTACTTCGGCATGCGTTATACAGGTATTTCGTAGGACAGCACATTTTATGACATAACAATACAGTAACCACAATGACGCCAATTAATTGATTCACTATATTATATGTCAAAGAAGGTTTAAAATGTCGGCGTGTAATCTCGAAAAATGTAAGTGATCAAAACCCATAGCGAACCCAACCCAAACCGACAGGAGGTTAATCACAAAAGTCTGGTGTGACTGTACCTAACAAATGAAATGAAACCCTGCAAATTACGGCTGTTAACATAACCCGGGTCGATCAAACAGCGGAAAAATACGATAGTGAGGATCCATAGTTGGCTTTACCTTGAGTTGCAGCTCGTAGTAACAATTCGTCATCCAACTCCTAGAGACAGATATATGCATTATTTAAATTACACTGTACACCACTACACCGCAAATGCTAGGTAAATAATTATTAACATTCTTGCTAGCAAGAAACATGAGTGTCTTAAGTGTATATATTAATACTGAAACTAGTTGCAGAATTAAAATGTAGACATTCTAAGGCCCGGTTCAGACGCCCATCTTTTCACGAGGCGAACCTAATACAATGAATTAAGTACATGAACAGTTCGACGTCTGAACCAATTCAGGCGGTCTAAATTGTTTGGATCGACCTTAATTCGAATTAGGAACTCGGCTCACGAAAAGTTCGGCGTCCCAACCGGACCTAATCATTACTAATTTTGATCTCTTAAATTGTTTTGACTAAAATTATGAGTGTTCTGATCTGTCAAGGAAAAAAATAAAACGAAAAAGAATAAGAAAAGAGGATGACCCACTAGGATTATCGTTAGTCAGTCAGAGATACTCGAGGAATAGATATTAATTTGTATTACTATGAAGTATGTTTACCATTTTCTCTCTTTCTTCTGCATCAATATACACTTCTTCAGGATCTTAAGAAAACAAAAATGAAATATTTTAATGGCTTGGACCGGCTGAGGTTATGTACACATTACTGAAATAGGACTGTTCAACCAGTAAACCATCTTCAGTCTCGACCAACCAAACAAGCACCAACAACAAACTATGAAACACCAACAACAAACTAAGAAACTAAAGAAACAACAAACTGTGAAACTAAGCAAAGCGTTACCTTCGCTTTCCTTTATGTCATTTTCCTCTGAAGTTCGAGCAGAACCCTGTAGGTTAACAACGATATATATTTCGAACTTCAATAATTTTGCACATAATAAGCCTAATGAACAAGCTAACTCTGATATAAGGGTTGTGTTTTCCAGAATTTGGTACATCTGACATACTGTACAAAATTGTTCTTCACTTTTGAAGTATTAATCAATATTTTCTTTTACTGAAAAGATAAAATCAATAAAATAGGTAATTTATTCCCAAACTCTACCATTCTGGCTGGAATTCGAATTTGAAAATGTCAGGTTTTGAGGAGAGGGGAAAATCGCAAAATGGCATTGGAGCTCAAGGCTTTGAATTCCGGCCACAATCAGTGATGGGAGGCGAATGTTCTCACCACTGCACCACCCATACTCCCAGTACAATACCACTGTACAGAGAATATTATACAAAATAATATCACCTCTGCCTCTCCTATAGGCCTCCTCGGGGTTCTTGCACTTGACGCTTTAGTTGAAAAAAAAATCTTGATTAAAACATATCATATACAAAACTATGATGACATGTTGGATTATTAAAATCCAACAAATTTATTGATTTGCATCTGTTGCAGTTAGATTCCTATTTCAGTTAATTTTGGTTTCAAATTCATTAGAATACACGGTCACATCCGAAATCCATGGAAAATGAAAATTAACTGAAATAAGAAATCAGTTAGTAAAACATGTCAGTTCTTATTTATGTTTAAACCTACATTGAAAGTGGTTTAATAGCCCTGTATGCTGCTCAGTTGCATGTAATAACAACAGAAAAAAAATCAAAACAGCTCTTTTCACACAATGGTTAATGTTCATAACATATAGCATTAACGGTGATTCAATATAACTACATGTCATATAACCAAAAAATAAAATTTATTGATAATGTAATCTGTGGATCTCAATTTATATAGGGTGGGTATATGTGTAGGCTACCTTTTGATCAAAGGGGCAAGATGTGAATGGTACTTCAAGTAGCATTGTGTCAACTTATTACCTTCAGTTCCCTGATCAACCTCTAATTCACTACATGTGATTACAGAAACCTATGGAAGAAAAGCATACAATGTAAGTACTCAGGTAAGCAAGGAGCAGGAATAAATGAAAGTCGATGACATGGTAACAATCAGAAATACTAAAGTTATGATCACCTCATGATCCACTGGCATAGTTCTCTGCATTGTAGTGTCTAACATTATTAAAAAATAAAAAAAAAACAATTGTCGGTATGAAAACACAATCCATTCCACAGCCCACTCCCAAATGACTATTTAATAGTCATGAAATGCCTAATAACATAGCTAATTATTGAAACATATGATGAAATCAAGAATGTAAGTAAAAGCGTGTGTGTCATTCAAAAAAATGAAAGGGCTTCCATTATTAGATATAGTATGTTACAGAATTTGTAGTTTAGAATTAATTATCCTCCCCAATAAATTTGCCTTTTTTATGGCGTGAATACATGTTCTCAGGGAATGTTTACTAACTAAACTTGTCTTGTCAAAGTCTATATAGTTGTAGCCTTGTGAGAGGTAAATACATGGTATAATAAATAGTCTAGTAATCTGTCGGTATGCGCAGGCTATAACTACAGTCAGGGATTGTCATTTACACTACAGTCTTGTAAAAGTTGGATTGATTTATTGACCTCACCAGCACAGTGTTCAAACAAGCCAGGAATTAGAAATAATTAAAACCCTTTTTGAAAGAAAATTCAGAATTCCATTGCAGAGAGTGACATACATGTAATGCACTGAGGATATTTCAAAAGCTTAAGGCAATTTCACCTAAACTTACTGGAAGTCTTGTCTTCAGATGAACATCCAGAACCACCCTCTTGTGGATCACTTCCAGCAACTGTACTGAATTTTGTTATCAGCGTCTGGTTTCCTTAAAAGTATAATATTTAAATTAAATGTTTTCACAGAATTGAATCTTGAAGTAACTTTGCATATTTTATAACATAACTTTTTAATGGCAACCTGCCAACAATAGACTTAATTAACGGGAGGGATGAGTCAATTAAACAGGTTACAAACTCGCACGCTTATAAAAAAAATTGAGGCAAGGAAAAATAACATATATTGCCGGTAAGCATATAGTTGGAGTATTTTTTGTGCCACAGTCTATTAGTCTCTCTTGACTCTTTTTAAAGTACAGTTGAAGACTTATCTTTTTTAAGGAAGCTTTTAATTTTTAATTTCTCTTATTCTTATTACTATTATTATTTCTGTCCATTTATTGTATATATATATATTTATTTTCTTGTACATATTGTAAGGCACTTTAGAATATTTTAATAGTTAAAGCACTATATTAAATGTGATAAATTATTTATTATTATTATTATTAGTCTCACTTAAGCGGCTGATTTGGGATGATTTGGTGATATCTGACTGAATTACAAAAACATGGCTTCAGTGAGTCACTACAGGTCACCCTCGTTATTACGCCACTTTTTTTTGGCTGCCTGGTAAAACCACCTAACATTTTCTTGCACATTACTCATCAAAATGATACCACAGGTGGGTGTCAATTCAGTTAATTGGTTTGACAGAATTTTTTCAGTTTAAATGATCTGTCTAGTACAATGTACTGACTATTCAGTTACCTGAAAACTGAGAAGCATTCCAATCATAACCCCTTACCTTGGCTAGAAGTTTCAGACCTCTTCAAGTCATCAAAGGCTGCAATGTTTGAAGATTAATAGATGGTCAACTTTTATGATTTTAAAATTAACAATCTAACTACTTTAGGGGCCAGGAGGTTCAGCGCCATGAACCCAGTGAGACCAACTCCTAATCGGACACGGGCATGCTCTTATCTTAAATAACTGAGTTTATATCAACAGTACTGTTGTAAGCAAACAGGAAGTTGAAACAGGATCCTATGTGCACCTGAACGAATCCTGTTCAAAGGGAACAGACAGCAAATTGTAGTTGCTCAAAAAAAACAAAATGTCTTAGCTGTTCACCGGTAGGATGCCTAAAATAATCTTGTGCAATTGCACATTATTGGTTTCTTTACATGCTGTGTAGTTGATGTTTCCATAAGAAGTCTAATAGCGTTTTGTGTTTTGCACTATTACTAAACATGGGTTTTGTCACCTTACACCACCCCGAGTGACTCAGGCAAACTTTGCATTCTGCTCAAAGGCTTTGTATCAGCAGCATGCATTTCCAACAAGGAAATTGTTCATAAAATTTGCAGTGAGCCCTTTTATATTTAGTTGAGCTTTATTCTAATATACAAAAGGAGCATTACTGCTATAGGGAAAAAAACCTGGCCCAAGGAACTTAAATAAACGGTTAAAATCTGAAAAAAAAGGGTAAAAACTCAAAAAAAAAAAAAAAAAAAAACAAAGAAGTGACCTTTGCCTATAAAATTTAACCAAATGCACTGTTTTATGATCAGCTTTGATTCCCTGCTCTCCATACCTTTGTTAGTAAAATGCCGTAACATAATTTTACACACAGTAATTAAACACAGCTCAAGAAATAAAATCAATCATCTGTACAGTTTTTCCATGTTTAACATTGTCTTGGCATGCGTTGATTATTTTCAGGATACATGTTATTGAAACCAAGCTGGAATTTGTTTCTATTGACGATAAAAATCTTCAAAGACGACAAAAATTTGTTGGCAAATGTGATTTTCCCATACAACTCTTATACTGGTCAGGTTTCAATGTCTGAGTCAAAAAAGGGACCAGAAATTTTGTGACGGCATTAGTGCAAAGCACTATTACAACAGGTACACGTATTAACAAAAAAAACTGACCTTTCTGTACTTTCTGTAGCAAATCATTGGAAAAAACACTTTTCTTAACATGGCAGCATGTCAATGTTTTTGTGTGTCCAGCTTCCACAGTCAGGTTCATTTTTCGGTTGGTGCAGCCATTCTTGGACTGCTTCACCCATGCACGAAACTTTGCACCTGCCGCGTCACCAGGTAGTCCAATGAATCTCAATGCTTCTGGCACATTAAATGCAACACAATCCCCGCACCCACAAGCTCTGGGTACAACGTGTTGTACAAAGAAACCAGAAGCCTGTAAAAACAAATGGTTTCAAGGGAAAAATCAATCATTATTAAAACAGTGATAGTGTTTGTGTATGTACAGTAAGTACAATAATGCTACAACAAGAATAATTCAAGCAGGGTTGCTAAATTTTCTTTGTCAAATGTTTCAATCACATGTAATTAAACCATGTTGAAATTCATTTCAGTACTCAGTCTGTTGTAACACAAAAAAAAATTTAACCTTCGTTGGAAATTTAACTGGAAATTACAATGTACATTAATTCATTATTATTGCTAACTTAAAATAATAGTACTGCATCTTACCAAAGTGTAAAGGTCAAGGTCACATCTGTGGCTAACCTGGTTTTTGTTTTAAATTAAAAACCCCTGCTTTATTATCAAAACTTATTAATTTTTTTACCTTTCGTGGATCTTCTGCTACACGTTCCAAGAGATGTGTTAATGTCGAGATCATTTCTTGGCCATTACCCTCGACACTGTCACTTGTACCGGCTTCTTGCATTAATCTCTTATATACCGGTAGCACAACGTCTTCAAGCCATCCTTGAAATTGCGGAAAGTACTTGTCCTTTAAGTCAAGTACCTCCAGAAGCTACAAAAGAAAAAAAGGTAGATGTCTTGGCTAGATGTACTACATGAACATGCAATAAAGACATGATTATCATATCAATAATCAAATGGAGTTGTGTAATGACCCGTACGAAACGAGCAGCGCTGCTGCAGCGCTGCAGAATGACTTCAAGAAGCGCTACAAAAGAGCTGCAAAAGGGCTGGCTGCAGCAGTAGCAAAAAATGGCTGTTTCGCGCTGCAGGGAAAGCCCTTTGACAGCGATAAACAGCGCTGTTGCAGCGGTGCAGAAAATTCCCGAATCACGATCTGCGCTGCAAAGTTGCTGCAAAGTGGCTTCGAATTTTAAGACAAAGAATGTTGTTCCCGGTAATGTCCTACCACTCGTTAGTACAAAAAAAAGAAATGCAGACTTCAATAATACAATAACCACGAAACATGGTAGAGAAGTTGACAAGGCCTTAGGAGGAGTAAAAACCACTAGAAAGTCACAATGGAACTGATACTTTATTAGTATCCACGCGTACACGTTACAAAAGCAAGTGACATAACAAATCTGCAACAGTCTCGCTTTGTAAATATTGAGCAGTCATGGTCACTCATCTAAATGTAAGAACTGCCATTAACATGCAGACATTGAAGTTTATCTTTTTTTAAAAATAAAGAGAATAACAGCGACTGTTCTACATAAAGTTTACACCGGACAACAGCCAAATGATATTTTGATTCGTTGCAACACGTTAAGCCTGACATCGCTCACCTTAACGTTTTGTCCATGATCGACGATCTGCTACACTTTTCGTGAAAGAAATCAACCAAATCTTACTTTGGTCCTCGTTAAATTTACAATGGACTAAGGAACGTACATTATCGGTGAACGTTTGAATCTTGTAAATGCATTCGTACCCCAGCGAAGATTCTGGCATCTGTGTTGCTTGCTCCGGTTCGATTCGTCGGCACTTCGCGTAGAATTCACCGTACATTGCCGTTGTTTACAAATACCTTTGAGCTGTTCCATCCAAAACATCAACAGAACTTCCATCTCGAAACAGAACTAGATGCAAAACACTTACAAATTTGTATGAATGTTTGCGCCTTTCATTCAACGGTCACAAATGTTTGTCTAGAGATGTAAATGCAAAAGTGGGATCTCCGACCAATTAGATTACAGCCTAGAATGTCACCAGGAATTAACGATAACATTCCCACACTCGCCAGTCACGGAATGAAATTTATTGAAAGCATAGAATTTGAAGGTTTATTCAACAAGTGATCTTCCTTGCGCACAAGCTTACTCACATTTCTTAGAGGTACAGTCAAAGTTTTCTCGTTATAAAAGCCGTAATCTGTGGCAAGGCTTTTCTGGCGATTCATGTTATCTCAAGAACGTTGTGCTATCAGATCGAGCGCAGCTGAATTGTAGCGTTACTGCAGCTACTTCGCAGCTTTTGAAAGTCGGCAACTGCGCTGCAAAACCGCTGCCAAGAGCTTCAAAGGCTGCACAGCGCTTTTGCATCCCGCTGCAACTTGAATTAAGCTGCTGTTTGGCTTCTAAAACGCTGCTAAACAGCTGTAATTTAGCTGTACAGCTATTTTGAAGCGATTTTGTGGCGCTGTACAGCGCTGCCAGTTTCGTACGGGGAACACACCACTAAAAATAATGTGATACGTAACTATGTACATATTTATGTTTTAGATATTTTTTTATCCCGGGTAATTTTTATTTTTCATTTGTTTCAACTTCATACGTGCACATTACCATACCCAAAAAGACAGAAACATTAATAACAGAAAAAAACATAGAAATTATTTGGAAGTGTAGTTATTAAAACCCAATCATCTGTATTTGTATCAAAGGGTCTGTTTACATAATGGCAGGGGGCCCCAGGTAGGCAAGGCAAACCATGGAGCTAGGGTCACCTCACCTATAATGTAAACGCCATTATATTCATATGAGTAGTTATGACGGCAGGCAGGTTACCTCTGCTCACCTTCCTGGGGTCCTCTACGTCCATGTAAACAGACCCTAAGTGTCTCAGTACAATGAACATTATTTTACCTTGCAAACTGTAAAGATAAGGAGAAAGTAATTCTCCTGGGAACGACTGTCCATCTCTTTAGGAATGATCTCTTCAATGTCTTTCGACACTTCATCTTCTATAAGGCCATCAAATATGTTGTGAAGTTTTAGCAAAACCCCACAGCTGTTGATGGATTGTTCCATTTTTGCCTCAAGGCTCTGTTTGAGTTTCATCCTCTCTACTAACGTATCTCCCAAAGTTATCTCTTCAAAAGGGATTACTAGTACTCTGGAGAAGATCCTGGTAGAAAAGATAACAAACAAGACTCACTGATTGCTGCAACTACATGAAAATTCAACCAGCGCTTTACCATTTCTATTTTTTTTGATTTGCATAAATTTGTTACAATATAACTGTACATGTTATTTAATTTACCTATCAGATAATTTAAAAAAAATTGTTAGTCCCTCTCTCACAGAGAGATAAGCGTTACAGCTCTTCAATCATTTGCAACTACTTGATTGAAAAATGTTACTGTAAGTACTGAATATTATACACAAAAATTTGGCTTTATCAAACGAGAAGAGTGTTTAAAGCTTAATTAGTAGTCTGTGGTGAATTAATTCATTTATTCAGGCAACCTTAGCCGAATTAGTCACTTGGCACTCGAGACCACTATGTTGTCTATGCTGCCTGAGAGTCTGCAGAGAGCTTCCTGTTTTGAATGCTTTTTAAAAAAAGGGAATTGTATATGATTTATATAGTATTTAGAGTAGTCATTGATTCTATTTGGATAAATTTATTGGAATCTTGTTTCAGATTTTTTATGTGTGGTTTCATGTAGGCAAAGATGGCAAAATGCAATTGGTTGGAATGGGTTGAAATACCATACATGACCATTGTTGGATGTGATGCATTCATTTATTTTCATCCTTAAAAAAGTATTTTTATTTGTTAAGACCAAATTGGCTGTCACTTGTTTGTTTTTTTGTGCTGTAGTAACCAGTGTCCCTGACATTGGCAGAGCTATTATAGTGCACCTGTTTGTGAATGTACAAAACATTGTAAGTACCTCATTGCTTTCTCTACTGTGAGCTTCTTATTTTCAAGCTCTGATGGGTTGACTGTAAGTAGAGGCATGGTTGAAAGAACCTCGTCTTTTTTCATCGTTTTTCGGCAAGACTGGTGATAGGAAATAAGCTAACAATTAATTTAAAAAAGGATGCACACAAACACAAACAGACAAAAGTCAGGATGTTTGTAAACATACATGGTAGGTAACTTATACTCTTCCTAGATATGGGAAAAATTTATACACTTTGTTACTCTTGCAATCCCAGAATTGGCCAGATTCAAGATTGGGAAAAAAAAAAAAATCATAAAAGCAAATTCAAATTCAAATTCAAAAAAACTGAGGGATAAATGCCATGTGTGTGAAAGAACTGTTAGACAGGATTCATTTTTTAGAAGTTAGAACCACCTAACAAGACTCAAAATTTGCCTTGGGAAAGAAAGCCAAAAGTCCTTGTTTTACAAGTTGTAGCAATGGGTTCTTTTTTTGGCTAGACCTGAGCAAAGAAACAGCTACTGCGACATGTATACATGTCGGTCCACATGGGCTAACCCACCCCAACCGCCGCAAATTTGGTAATTTTAAAATAAACAGTGAATATGTAAAGTTGAAGGTCAAATTATATGCACACTAACCTAAGTTGTCTAGGTTGTCTTGTTTTTTAGGATTACAATGAGTTTATGTGCGGGGGATTTTTTCCCACCTACAGGGTTCGTACCCCTTTTTTGAACAGAAATTTCATTCAAGGACTTTCAAGGACACATTTCCCATTTTTTAAGGACTCCAATGTTACTTTCCACATGTGCCAATCAAGTTGGATATATTTCATGCTGTTCAGAGAATCATCAAAACTCTTCCCAAAGGAACGGTTGAAAGCCAAAAGTTTGCTAAAGAGGTGGGACTTCTGTTCCGCAGAGATGGTGACGTTGGGGAGGAGAGAATGTTCGCTACTCCTGATCCTGAATGCATTGAAAGCAACATGGAGCAACTACTTTTCAAATGGAAGGGCAAACTGTCTGTAGCTACTGTCAATGCGATTGAAAATTTGAGACATCATGTGCGAAAAGGTTGCTTATCAGAGATACCTCCTTCTGCAGGAACCACTTTAAATGAACGCCTTCATAGGCATCTTAAACGATCAATGTTATGTGGTGCATCCTCCATTTCCCCTGAGCTGGCCTTGCCCATCCTAGCTCTAGTGCTTTATGTCTGGAGCTGTAGGCGCAGAGGATTGCAGAAACATGTTAACAATCAAAGAATTGTTCCAATTATTCCTTTTGAATTTGGAGATCTCAGTGAAAGAAGTCCCACTGACTCCTTGCTATTAAAATGCTCTGACAAAGGGCAGGATGAAAGAAGTGTAGCTAAAGAGCTCGAGGAAGAGAGCAGTGACAAAATATCATCATGGTATTTACACCATCATGTTGAAAATGTGAAAGATTTGATGAACGTCAGTGTGATAAATTATGCCTTAACTCGTGTTCTTCAAATGAGGGATTGTTGGACTTTCCTAAAAGAACAAACATCGCTCACCTTTCTTTCAATGCTTGACTTGTTTGGACTTGAGAGAAGCTTCATGAAGCTTTCAAAACAGCATACTGTAGAAGAGAAACTACCGCTGGCTGTAACCGTGAAACGCCGAGCGTAATTTGGCTTCCTTTGGACTCTGCAAGATACCTGTAGCTGGGGATGGAAACTGCTGTTTTTCGTAGTATAATTAAATGTCTTCATCATAAGTTTCTTGGAAACTCGGAAAATGATCATAATGACGACATATCTAGGTACACTGAGTTTATGAAAAGTCTTGGCCTTGGAATTAATGAAGATAAAGACACCTTGCATTTAAGGCTCCTCATGTGTCAAGAGATTTCAAGTAAATCTGAAGAATATCAACAGTGGTTGGGTCTAACTGCAGAGCAGCTTTCTATTGATCTAAATTCATTTAGGCAACAAGGATGGTTTAACAGTGATGCTGGTGATATTGCAGTAAAAGTATGCAGCAACATTTTGCAGATACCCATCGTTGTCATAACCTCGTATCCACAAGCCCCATATCAATCCTTCATACCACCTAAGATGTCTTCTACTCATCCCCTTTATGTGGCATTCAATCATTCACTTCCTGGGCATTATGATGCCACAACAGGTAAGAACAAGGGAAATTCATTAAGCAAGTTATTTTGGTACACTCTTTTACAGGTGACAAAAGGAGCCCACAATCCTAATCTCCAGGTTGTTCTTACCCATGCATTGCATGGATTCATTAATGGACTTCCACTATGACTGAGTAAATCTGTTGTGGTTCAGTTTTATCTTTGGTTAAAATTTTCTTTTGCAATTGTTTTAACTCACTATAATCACATGTTATCATTACCCCAAAACAAAGGAAAATAAAGTTTAAACCAAGGAAAGATTTGAACCACAACATGTATATGTAACAAAACATTTTATGAGAATAATTTCCTTGAGGCTGAAATTTGTAAAATGATAGGGACCAGTCACTATTTATCACCTGGGGGAGGGGGGGTCTAAGGATTTTGGGGATCACTTGATTTTTAGGATAACAAAAGGGGGATCAGTTGTAACTGAGAGCCCAAAAGGGGCAATTATTTGAATCGTTGGAAGGACTCAGAGGGGCACTACACCAATTTGCTTGGACAACAAAGACATGGGGGGGGATCACAAAAGTTATCAATAGCTATTCAAAGGGGATCAGCTAAATTTCACTGTGTTTAGCCCCAAATCCTTTTGATTTCCAAGGTGATAAATACTGACTGGTGCCTTAAGAACATGATATGGGAAAAGCCAAGGCTGAGATTTTGAATCCGTGGAAATTCTGTAAATACAATCATATGTTTTCAACTTAGGGAACGCGTCCAAATATCGGTAGGGAACCCGATCATGGGAAACGGACCCGATTAATTTTCCGATTGATCGGAATCGGTACCGATCTATAGGCACCAGTTGCCGTTTCCGATTACGATAAAAACTTTGCCGATTCAATCGGAGCCGGTTGACATTCCGATGTTCATATGTGTCATCGTCATATTATTTTATCTGATATGTAAAATGAAGCGTGTCACGAAACCAAATAATGAAAGAGTCGTTTCACTTCAAAGTAATTTCAATCGACTGTACCTTTTTCCTACTCCATAACAAATAGCAAAATTGTATGTTTCTGCATGTTGTGTTTCGAGTTTGTTGATTTGATACGTGCCTATACACGTGATTTTCGGCGTTTTGCAGAGGTATTTCCTTCAGTCGATCGCAAACACCACGCTGTTCCATAACATTTATTCTATGAAAATTAAAAGGAGTTAAATATTACGACGCAAAACACCACTGTTCTTCGTTGATATATAGCAAACAAAACACCATACTGAGTAGTGTGTTCTTTACTCGATACTAATTTCTAACAATGCAATCCAAAAACACGACCGGAACTCACTTTCTCGAAACACAGCTGGATTCATAGACTTGTTACAAGTAGACCTCAACGGGTTTCCTAGCGAGCGGAGCGAGAGCAAAACCATGGATAATGTAAAACTACGGGATAAACTTTTACGAAAATTTGCGTCTTTCATTCAACGATCCTAAACGCAAGGTGTAATGCGATCTGAGGCAAAAAATACCGACCAATTACATTGCGGCCTCAGATTGTCTCCAGGGAATTGGCAACAGGAGCTGAGAGATTCCCACACTCGCGAGTCACGGAAGACACGGAACGAAGTTTCATACAGGAGCTACCAAAGAGAGAATGGCTTAGCGACTTTGCTGTATGTTCTGTGAGCTTGAGCATGGTGCCACGTGAAATTGCTTTCCACTCTCAGCACTTCGAAAAATTTGCGCTTGACTCTAGGTGGCTGACTGTTTGACAAAAATCAGAACCTATTTTACCGGAGTGTTCAACTAAAGTAAACTGGCATACATCCGGTAAGTTCGACTCAATTTAATAGCGGAAAGACAATCGAGAAAGAGAAAACCAGTTGAACGCCTCCATCGGTCACTTTTTTGAGTTCATATGCAACCAGTAAACAACTTGCAGCTTGATTCTCAGACGATGTCCTCTTCTCTCCTGTGGCAATTTAGCAGTTAAAGTACACAACATGGTAACAACATTTGCATTTTGGTCGTGGATGTTCTGACTTTTATTTTTTTCGTTTACAGTCCTAAACTGTTTATTCCTCCAAAGATTCCTATAATCATGCGTTTTGGCTTCCGGTTAGCAAAGGCTCAAGCTATTTTAAAATTATCATTTTTTAAAATTATCACATCGTACACTTGCAATGTACATTGCGCCGTCTTTCACTCAAAAGATGCCTGTTGTTTCTTCTCGCGCCCATTTTGATACACAAATTTAATATTTTCTGTTCATACTCTGTCATAGGAAATAAAAACAAATGTTCGAAACCGTGACGTTAAATTTCGGTTCAAACAAGACACATTTATAAGAAAGATAAGGTTATAAAAAACAACATTCACGCTTTTGCTTTTGTGACGGGTTATTTGAGCTGCCAGATATTTTTGATGACCTTTGTCAATTGGCCCGATAAAGACTTGAGACCCGTTGCCGATTCCGTTTCATTCGGTGCCGATAAAATCGGGTCCGACCTTCAACGGAATCGGAAAAAATCGGTGCCCAATTGATCGGCATCGGTATGACCCGATGCCGATATTTGGACGCGTTCCCTTACATAGCCTTATAAAATTATCCCTTTCTCTGAGTGGGTTATTTTCCAATACTACAAGACAAAGGAAAAGTCTATAATCTAAGAATACTATACAAGAATATTTTCACCCTTACATAAATGATATTTACGCGCTTTTGATCATATTTGCATGGAAAAGGCGCGTTATCAATTTTTAATTATTATTAATTATTATTATATTGTCTGAAAAATGAGAATATACCCACTTCCACATTTTCAATATTATTTGCCCCCCAAATTTTTCATATTAAGCACTGACTGTTTTAAATTTCTGTTGGGACGGCTGCAATACCCAGAAGAAATAAAGAACAAGGGTTATGCAATTTTTTTTGGGGGTGGAGGGGCTAAGTAAGGTGCATTTAAGACATTATTGGGAAAAAAGAGTGTCTATGTTGTAGTTCATTTTGTATATAAGGTAACTTTTATTTTTCTTTTTTTTTTTTTTGGGACAGGTGCGGTAACGTATGCTAATGAAGTTGAGACAAATGAAAAAATGTAGTGTTAGCACCTAATTTGGGAGCCAAGATGGCAGCAAAAATAGTTTGATGCCAGTAATAATAATACTGTTATTATGTATAGTTTGCTGCGCATGAGTACTTTGTATAGCTAGTTTCTGCTTGGCAAAGAAAGTTTTCAGTTTGTATTATCAATTTTTTTCACTCCAACAGATATTGTCCCATCTGTTGTAAGTGGTGAGAAGAAAAAGTATTGTCAATGTGGTAAAAAAAAAATGAAGAATCAAGCAAATTTCCAATCCTGCACAGCTGCTAATTCATCCCAACAATGTTCCTGCCTCTCTTCTGGTAGTATGTGCTCGAGATTGTGCCAGTGTTACAACTGTTGTAACCCTCTTAATTCAAACGCCAAGGTGACTCCATTGTCATTACATGAACGCTGTCGATGTGGAAGAGGAAGGAAAAAAGGTGAAAGCAACAGACCCTCTTGTTGTGATTGTCCTGGAGAAAGGAAATCAAAATGTCCCTGCTTAAAATCAGGGATAAGTTGCAGCAGAGATTGCCAGTGCTTAGACTGTAGCAACCCACATAATGAAACAAGCAAGAGGAATGTTGTTTCAGCTGGCCCAACCAATATTCCCAAAAAGAGGAAAAGATCTAATCCTGACCCATACAACAGGAAAGGTGGCACAAAATACCTGATTTCCCAGGGATTTGATGTCACAGCAGGTCGCTGGAATGATCTGGAAACACTGTTGTTGCTTGTTGTTTATGAAGTTCTAGAAATCTCAGACTTGCATGGTGTGTCCCATAATATTGTAACATTGTACAATTTTGTTGCTGGGTCTAGCCAAGTTGCGCAAATGGAGTTGGACATCATAGCAAAACGTTCAGCGCAGATCACCGGTAAACTCTCTTATTTGAAGGGAAGACATAATCTTTTGGATGACCTGATGAACAATAAGGAGTGATAAAGGCAATAAGTAATAGACTGTAGTCTAACAGCTGAGTCATCCCATAATTCACTTGTGTGAATGCTACAAAATAATAAATATGAACAAAGGACAAAGTCATTTGATATGTAACCATATAAATAACAGTTTTTGTTTATTCAACGTAAAGCTTTCAATACAGCGAGACAGAAATGTAACATGTACTTGGACAAGAAGAGATATCGGTTGGTATATATTTACTGCCACAACTGTTTCTCGTCTAAAACTTCTTGTCCACTTGTAAAAAAAAAAACACATTTTTTGTGGGCATTATACTGTGAGACAGGGACACGACAAACCAGAGAGATCACTTATTGATCCTGCTGACAATGAGATGGAGATAGAAATTGACTGGGTGTCCCCCAAGGCCTAGTTCTTAGGTATTTTTTTTTTCAAATTTAAACTAAAATTCTGTCCTCGCACAAATTTTGGTATTATTTACTGTTTTGTTCGTAAATTAACTTACTACTTGCTGAAAATGAGAAAATTTTAATTAATGTCCAGACTCAAACAAGCACCCACCTCGAATAAGCACCTAGAGCGTATAATTGAATATGGGCCTTTTTCGATTGGCCTTTTTAATACTCCTTGTTTTCTCTGCAAAAGTTTGAATAAGTATTGCTTTCAGCTTTTCTTGGGGGTGATTCTTGCTCTCTCAAGAAAGTAGTACCAGGCATGTGCAAAACTTTGGAGGGAAAACAAAGAGTATGGTTGTATTTTTTAAATTGGCCTATTGATACATTGACACAGCGCTATGTGTGGCCATATGTAAAACAGTGGGCCAGTTATTTAAACGGCGTTTAGGTAGAGTTTTAAGAAAATGCGTTTTATGCCATTTTTTCGTTTGGTGAACGCTTTTATGTAAACACCCTTTATTGTGACAGTCTCAGTAGCGCATATAACGTGGACAAGAAAAACATTTGTCTTTAAAGAATCCACTAGAGATTTGGTAGGTCCAAAGATCTCCTAAACCGCTATAAAGTTGGACTTCGTTTAAATAACCGACCCAATGTGTCCAAGTTTCCAGGGCCGTGTATGTTAATAAAAAGATTGCACTTGGCTGTTTGGCTGTAAATGAGTTGATGAGTGCAGCTGTTTAGGGCTGCACAGACAATAGGTATGTTAAAGTGCCAAAACTTCCACCAAATCAGTTATAAATACGTTCAAGCTCAACTAGCTCCTGAGCAGGTAAACTCTGTTTGTGGTTTCAGGACTGTACAAACCGCAGGTCTTTGTATTTTCCTTATGAAATTGTTATTACTTTTACTATGACATAAGAGAACATATAATTTTAAACGTTTGGAAAAAGAACTATTAGATAAAAGAAGTAAAAAAAACCAAGGTCAAAAACGAGTTGTAAGGTACTTGTCAGAGTTAAATAATAAAAGCCCATAATCCCAATAAAATATTTTAATTCTTACTTAAATCTGAGGGTTTCTGGTAATTTTTTCTAAATTTGGTGTTCTTGGTTTTGAAGCCTCGTAATGTAGTCTCTTATGATAACGCAGGGCTGTTTAGGACTATGTAGCCCTGTGTCCGGGTATACAGGGCTATGTGGGATTGCATAGAGTTCTGTTCGGCTATGTAGGGTTGTGTAGTAATATGTAGGGTTCTGTAGAGCTATGTAACGCTACGTAGAGCTATGTAGGGTTATGTAGGGTTGTGAGGGGATTATAGGGCTATTTGTAAAATGCAACTAGTGGTCTATTATCAATGCTGCGTTCTGATTGGTTGCGCTACTACTAGGTTAGATGTTACAGCCCACTATTAGCGAAAAGCGCCAGCTTTGAAAATCAAGACAATGGCATATGTATGGCTATGTATGTCTATGTATAGCTATATTTAAGCAACAGAAAACGTTTTCTGTTGGCATAGTTCCATATAAACACAAGAGGGGTTGGGAGAAAACGAGACAGTTATTCAAACCCGAGACGATTCGTCTCGGGATTGTATAACTGTCGATAATCTCCCAACGCCTCAGTGTTTATATCGAAACTATGCAAACACAGGAAATAAGCTTTCCATTGCTTTTATAAAATAACTTTCCTGAGAAAAAACACAACACTGTTTGTACGGCACTGATTAAAAGATAAATTCCAACCAGTCGCAAAGTCTTGTCCACGAAGTGTTGTGCACGTGTAACTAGTTATGGTTATGTAGGTCTCTGTAGGGCTATGTAGGGCTATGTATGGCTGTGTATGGCTGTGTATGGCTATGTATGGCTATGTAGGGCTGTGTATGGCTATGTAGGGCTGTGTAGGGCTATGTAGGGCTATGTAGGGCTGTGTATGGCTGTGTAGGGCTATGTAGGGCTATGTAAGGCTATGTATGGCTATGTATGGCTATGTATGGCTGTGTATGGCTATGTATGGCTGTGTAGGGCTATGTATGGCTATGTATGGCTATGTAGGGCTGTGTATGGCTGTGTATGGCTGTGGTGGGCTATGTGGGGCTATGTAGGGGCTATGTAGCTGTGTATGGCTGTGTATGGCTATGTATGGCTATGTAGGGCTGTGTATGGCTATGTAGGGCTGTGTATATATGTATGCTGTGTATGGCTATGTATGGCTGTGTATGGCTGTGTATGGCTATGTAGGGCTATGTATAGCTATGTAGGGCTATGTATGGCTATGTAGGGCTATGGGCTGTGTAGGGCTATGTATGGCTATGCTGCTATGTATAGCTGTGTATGGCTGTGTATGGCTATGTATAGCTATGTAAGGAGCTATGTAGGGCTATGTAGCTATGTATGGCTATATATGGCTATGTATGGCTATGTAGGAGCTATGTATGGCTGTGTATGGCTGTGTATGGCTGTATGGCTATGGGCTATGTAGGGCTATGTAGGGCTATGTATGGCTATGTATGGCTATGTATGGCTGTGTATGGCTGTGTATAGCTATGTATGTGGCTATGTATGTGTATGGCTATGTATGGCTGTGTGTATTATATGTGGCTATGTATGGCTATGTGTGTGTATGGCTATGTGTATGTATGGCTATGTAGGGCTATGTATGGCTATGTATGGCTGTGTGTGGCTATGGCTATGTATAGCTATGTAAGGGCTATGTAGGGCTGTAGGCTATGTAGGGCTATGTAGGGCTATGTATAGCTATGTAGGCTATGGCTATGTATAGCTATGTATGTAGGCTATGGAGCTATGTATGGCTATGTATGGCTATGTATGGCTATGTAGGGCTATGTATGGCTATGTATGGCTATGTAGGGCTATGTATGGCTATGTATGTATAGCTATGTATGGCTATGTATGGCTATGTAGGGCTGTGTGTGCTATGTATGGCTGTGTAAAAGCTATGCTATGGGCTATGTATGGCTATGTATGGCTATGTATGGCTATGTAGGGCTATGTGGCTATGTAGGGCTATGTAGGGCTATGTATGGCTATGGCTATGTAGGGCTATGTAGGGCTATGTATGGCTATGTAATACTATGTATAGCTATGTATGGCTATGTAGGGCTATGTATGTATGCTATGTATGCTATGTATGCTATGTATGGCTATGTAGGGCTATGTAGGGCTATGTAGGGCTATGTAGGGCTATGTATATGTAGGGCTATGTAGGGCTATGTATGGCTATGTAGGGCTATGTAGGGCTATGTATGGCTATGTAGGGCTATGTATATGTAACTATGTATGGCTGTGTAGGGCTATGTAGGGCTATGTATGGCTATGTAGGGCTATGTATGGCTATGTAGGGCTATGTAGGGCTATGTATGGCTATGTAGGGCTATGTAGGGCTATGTAGGGCTATGTAGGGCTATGTATGGCTATGTAGGGCTATGTAGGGCTATGTAGGGCTATGTAGGGCTATGTAGGGCTATGTAGGGCTATGTAGGGCTATGTAGGGCTATGTATGGCTATGTAGGGCTATGTATGGCTATGTATGGCTGTGTAGGGCTATGTATGGCTGTGTATGGCTATGTATGGCTATGTAGGGCTATGTAGGGCTATGTAGGGCTATGTAGGGCTATGTATGGCTATGTAGGGCTATGTATGGCTATGTATGGCTATGTAGGGCTGTGTATGGCTATGTAGGGCTATGTAGGGCTATGTAGGGCTATGTAGGGCTATGTATAGCTATAAGGGCTATGTATGGCTATGTAGGGGCTATGTAGGGCTATGTATGGCTATGTAGGAGCTATGTAGGGGCTATGTAGGGCTATGTATGGTTATGTATGGCTATGTAGGGCTATGTATGGGCTATGTATGGCTATGTAGGGCTGTGTAGGGCTATGTAGGGCTATGTATGGCTGTGTATGGGCTATGTATATGTATGTGTAGGCTATGTATAGGCTGTGTATAGCTATGTAGGGCTATGTATGGCTATGTAGGGCTATGTAGGGCTATGTATGGGCTATGTAGGGCTATGTATGGCTATGTGTAGGGCTGTGTAGGCTATGTGGGGCTATGTAGGGCTATGTAGGGCTATGTAGGGCTATGTATGGCTATGTAGGGCTATGTGGGCTATGTATAGCTATGTATGGCTGTGTATGGGCTATGTAGGGCTATGTAGGGCTATGTAGGGCTATGTAGGGCTATGTAGGGCTATGTAGGCTATGTATGGCTGTGTATTGCTATGTAGGGCTATGTAGGGGCTATGTATGGCTATGTAGGGCTGTGTAGGGCTATGTAGGGCTGTGTGGGCTATGTAGGGCTATGTAGGGCTATGTAGGGGCTATGTATGTAGGGCTATGTATGGCTATGTAGGGCTATG